TGAAATAAAAAAAGAAGTCGTCCCACGGACCTGGTGGATTCTGGTTCCACGGTTCCACCTACTTCCCAACTTCAGAATAACTTTTCCTGCTAAACAACACGAAGCCCTCAAGTCCCATTTCTTCTCGACTTCCTCTCTAGCTTTCCTTAGGCCCCAGTCTACCACCCGGCCAGTTCCCTGCTTCTGTCAACGTTCGCCTTTGACCTCTCCTCCCAACCTACTCCCTCCCCTGCTGCCACTCGGGACGCGGTCCCGCCCCCTACCTCATTCTCGATAAGCTCCTCCGCCCGGGGGTCGCTCTGACTCAGACGCGGGATGGGCCGGGTCGGGAAGCTGTAAGTACGCAGCTGGGACTCATTCCAGGAGGGGCCGGGGGCTTCAGCCTCTTCCCGGGGTCCTCCAGAGCTTGAGGCCGCGGCCTCCGCCGTTGTAGCCGCCATCTCCGCCGCTAGGGACGGCCCTACCGGAACCGGAAGTTCCGCTTATTCCGGATAAAACACAACGGAAACCACAGAGATGAGCTGCGAGAGAGAGCGGTCCGCAGGCACTGCAGACGCGGTCCCGAGACATCGGAGCGCTCCTACCAATGGTAACGAACAGTTCTACACTCGTAAATGTCGCTCCTGAAGACCTGGGCCAGATGTTAGTCCCAGGCTTGCTGACGTGGTTAACCAATGATTAGGCTTGATTAGGCTTGCTAACGCGGTTAACCAATTCACAAAATATTACTGCTGCCTCAGTGTGTCCAGGCCTACACAAAAGGCAAAGAAGGAGGCAAGTTTAATGGGGTATTAAATTTTACACTAATGGATGGGAGAGAAGCAAACTCTTGACCTACTTAAGCAAGTCAGAAGGAAAAGCAATTGTCGGATTGATAGAAGTTGAGCAAAGGTTTCTCTGAAGGCCCCTGCCCTCGACAAAAGATTACAAGTTGAAAGTTCTAAAAATCAAAGATGGGTTTTTTTGTTTGTTTAGCATCATTTGATTTTTCTGCCTGTGTCACTATCTCTCACACTTGAAGATATTTTGCTATGGGTCCAATGTTATTATAGTTGCCAAGCATGAACATCCCACATTTTCAAACAATTTATAATTGATTATAAAATGTCGTAAGTCAAATTCTAAGATGAATCCAAAGACTTCCATTCCATGGTAAATAAGCCCTATATATAAGTCTCTCCCCTTGAATAAGAGCAGGACTTATGAATATAATAGGGTACCACTCCTGAAATGAGATTGTGTTATATGACAAAAATGTAATTAAGGTCCCTAATCAGTTCACTCTGAGTTCATCAAAAGGGAGGTTTACCCTGGGCCTGACCTAATCACTCTAGATCTTTAAATCTGGGTCTAGAGGTTGGAGACAGAAATGAGAGATTTGAAGCCACAGAAGACATTCTGTTGGCCTTTAAGAAACAAACTACTAAGTGGCAGACAATGGCAGGTAGGCTGTAGGAGCTGAGAAAGGCTCCTTCCTGGTTGACAGCCAGCAAGAAAGCAGGGACCTTAGTCGTACAACTGCAAGGAACAGAATTCTGCGAACAACTACCGAGCTTGGAAAAAGACAGAGCCTCAGATGAGATAGTAGTCCCACCCAATACCTTGATTTCAGCCTAGTGAGGCCCTGAGCTAAAACCCAGCTAACCCATCCTGGACTCCAGTCTCATGGAAAAGGTGAGATAATTAATTTGTGTTATTTTGGGCTGCTAAATTTATGATAATTTGTCATGCAGCAATAGAAAACCAACACATTGGCTTAACTATGTAATTATGCTACATAGTAACTATGCTACATAGTAACTAGGCTATACCAAACTGATGATAGGGTTACCTCTGTGGAGGGTTTGAGGGTGGGGGTGGCAATCAAGGCTTTAATTTTTGTCTGCAATGTTTGAATTTTTACAAGAATATATTAATGTGAAAAGTTATGAATAAATTAGACTGAGAAAACTCAGATGACTTAAATTCAGGAATGAAAGAAGTGACATTACTACTGACTTTGCAAAAATGAAAAGGCATATAAGGAAATACTATATGCATTCATTTGTATGTCAAAAACTTAGATAACCTAGATGAAATGAAAAAAAATTCTTAGAAAGGCACAATCTATCATAACTGATTTAAGAAGAAATAGAAAAATCTTAATAGACTTATAACAAGGGAAGAGATTGAATTCAGAATAAAAAGTGTTCCATGAAGAGAAGCCTAGGACCAGATGGTTTCACTGATGAATCCTACCAAACATTTAAAAAAGTATTGACACCAATCCATCACAAACTCATCCAAAAAATAGAAGAGGGAACACTTTCCAAATCATTCACTGAGTCCAGCATTACCTTGACACTAAACAAGACAAAGACATCACAAGAAAAAAACTACACATGAATATCTCTTATGAGCATAGATGCAAAAACTTAACAAAATACTTGCAAATCAAATCCAGCACCATATATAAAAAGGATTATATACCATGACCAAGTGGCATTTATTACAGGAATACAAGGTTGGTTCAACCAAAAATTAGCAATAGAAGAAAGAAAAAACATGATCATCTGAATGGACACTGTTGGGGGAAAGCCCTAGAAATCTAAATTCAGGATCCATTCCGAATAATTGACATATAGTCTTATTCAGATTCATAAGAGCTTTAACACTTACATACATGGGCAAAGCAGCTGCTCCCAGTAATGGCCAGCCAGGAAAAATCTACAACCCTCTCAGAACAGGGTCTCTTTTCAGATGAGTAAAAAGTAAAACCATATGGTGGGTAGTCACTGTAGACCACCAGAATGAACAATGCATTCCTAAGTTAACAGATGATATCAGGCAGTCATCCACATTCTATACATTCATTAACCTCCTTCCTGGAGGCATGATGTATACCTTTGGGTGGCATTCCAGTTTTCTAAGTAGTCAGCCAAGCCTGAGGCTACAGAGAGTTAAGAGTCCAACATTTCCCAGATGTCTTTGCTGTTTGAGCCATACTGCATCTAGTGGGTTCCCCTACGGACACAGAGAAAGCTTTTGACTAACTCCAATACCTTTCAGGATAAAAATGGAGTCCCACAGGACACCATCAAGAAAGTGAAAAGACAGTCCACAGAATGGGAGAAAATATTTACAACAAATCATTCATCTGATAAGGGACTTGTATCTAGAATACATAAAGAACTCTTACAACTGAACGACAAAAAGACAACACAATTAAGAAATGGACAAAGGACTTGAATAGACATTTCTCCAAGGAAGACATACCATGGCCAGTAAGTGCATAAAAAGATGCTCAATATCTTTAGTCAACAGGATAATGCAAAATAAAACCACAATTAGATATTATTCATATCCACTAGGATAGCTATAATAAAAAAGACGGACAATAACAAATGTTTTTGAGAATGTGGACAAACTGGAACCTTCCTACACTGCTAGTGAAAATATAAGGAAATATAAAGTGGTGCAGCTTCTTTGAAAAGAGTTTTGTAGTTCTGCAGAAAGTTAAACATAGAGTTACCCTATGACCCAGCAATTTTACTACTCGGTATATACTCAAGAGAATTAAAAATATACATTCACATAAAAACTTATATAAGAATATTAACAGGAACATTCATAATAGTCAAAAGTGGAAATAATCCAAATGTCCATCTATTGATGAATGTATAAACAAAATGTTATATACTCATATATTGAAATATTACTTAGGCATAAAAGGAATGAAGAACCAAAACATGCCACTACATGGACAAACCTTGAAAATGTTGTGATTCTTTTTATATAAAATGTTCAGAATAGGCAAATCCATAGAGATAGAAAGTAGATTAATGGTTGCCAGGGGGAGGGGGTACAAGAAATATGCTAATGGGTATGGGATATTTTTGGGAGGGGTGATAAAATTTTTTTAAATTAGTGGTCATAATTGCAAAACTTTGTAAATATACTAAAATAATTTTATTATATAAAGTGGTGAATATTATAGTATGTAAACTATATCTTAACAAAAATATGTAAGTAAATTAAAACAACTCTGTTTTTTTAACCCAAACTAGATCAGTGCTTCCTATCGATTGAATGTGGGTAGTGTCCAGTTATCCTGAACTTCAGCTAGTGATGCTCAGTTTAGAAGAGGGCAAGCTGCTGTGACTAATCTTCCCCCAAATTTATATACTGAACAGTATGTGTCAGTTTTTATTGCTCTGATATATATTTGAGAATGTCTTTAATAATGGATTCTGCTCCAAAACAGTGACGTGCATGTTTATACTGTGTAAACTATGCGAATTTCACGTGTGTAAATAAAATAAAAACATATTCATATGCAAACACAATAATGTCTCCCATTATTAAGGTAGTGTTTCTTCGTTGTATTCTGGTTTGAAAGGTATTTATCCAAGTCCTTGCAAATCTGGGGCTTTATGCGGGCTTCGAAAAGCCGCCTCTGGTGATAGGATTGGTTTTACATTTGTCGGGTTGAGGTGACTGGGACATCCATACGTAAACACGGACTGAAAACGAGGAGCCAATTCCAGGCCGATTTATCTGCTGCACCGCGCATTTAAGTGAAAGGGATCAACCAATTTGGAAAACGGAACAAAAACATGCAAGACCAAGGGCTGAATTTGAAGAATATCACGTCTGGGGATGAATGGAGCAAGTTCTAGTAAAGGAAAGGGAAAAAAGCAAGCAATCAGAGATTAACACTGGCTCACTTTACTTGTACAGCTCCTGGAAGAGGTGGGTCAGCTGTCCACAAGAGATGCTCAGGTTCTGAGTCCTCATTATCCTTGGATGCCTCTAAGTCAACTGAGGGAGAAAAAAGAGACACAACAATCTAAAATGTCAAAGCAGTGACCTGCTTGGTTTTCTCTCCTTCCAGTTTTCCTTCTCTGCCTCTATCCACCTGCACATCTTGCCTGTCTGGCTTCCCAACACGTTTAAGCCCTAGTTTAACCCCTAGGACCTTTTTTCATTCCCTGCTTTCCCGGTCGCGTTTGGCCCGGCTCAGCCACCGTGAGAGCCCTTTGCGCATGTGCGGAGTGAAACGAGAGGAAGGTCAAGATGGCGGCGGCCAGGGCGGGGGTCTTGGGAGTCCGATGGCTGCAAAGGGCAGCCCGGACCGTGGTGCCGCTGGGTGCACGGACAGGTCCGCGAGAACGGGCGAGGTCTCAGTCTGGGAAGGGGATGTCTGAGGGTTGTTGTGTCGGGGGGAAGATGGGTATCGTGGATACGGCGGCGGCCGTGTCCGGGCTGGGGGGCTGAGGTGCAGTTGGTATATCCGGAGAAGCGGGTAGAGGGTCTCGCTGGTACCTGGACGTCGCTCGGGCCTCCGCAGCCGCCGACGCTTGAAACCTTCGGGGCGGCAGGCAAAACCGGGTGCCTTCTCACCTGCCCTCGTCTGCCCTCCAGCTTCCCACATTACAAAGGACATGCTCCCGGGGCCTTATCCCAAGACCCCAGAAGAAAGGGCTGCCGCCGCCAAGAAGTATAATATGCGGTTGGAAGACTACGAGCCGTACCCGGATGATGGCATGGGGTGAGATAGAGAGGGTCCGCCCGCACTTTGGTAGTGATGGGAGAAGGCGGCTGGGTTGGTGGCTGGGCTTTGACCCTTTTCTACCCGAACCTTCCCATGACCTCTCAGAATCAATGGTGTAGGTGCTTTTGTCGGTAGGTGGGAGGGGGTGAGTGAGCAGCTGCAGCCGAGAGGACTTCAATTTTTTCCTTGGCTCGAGCTGTTTCCTCAAATGAGGAATCGAGATTTTAATAGCTCCCTTGAGGACCCCTGAATAGCAGGAACCTTCTTTGGCTCTATCCAGAGCGCAAGGTTTCATTTGGCTTGAGCATCTGCTGGGCTCAGGTGCTGTCGTCCAGGCACGTGACCAGGCAGGAACTGGACGCCTGTCATGCGAACCTTATTTGTAGACGGAGTACTCTATATTTGTGTATGTTTCTCTTTTTAAAAACATCATTGCTCTTGGGGCTGTGGAAATTCTAGCAACTGTAAAGCCGATTAAAGTTAACTCCCTTACTCCAAGTGATGTCATTCCCTCACCCTTCCGCTCCCATAGCCACAGAATGGTTAATTATCTGAAGTGATTACCAGCACTCATTTTCTGTCCTAGCATCACTCTTTCTACTGTGGTCTCAGCAGCTCCTATTCATCTTGTTTCCCGGTCATTTTCTGTGATATATGTCTAGTTGTCGTCATTTCCTATGTCTTTTATTGTGTTGTGGACAAGAGCAGCTTTGGTAGCCGTCTGTATAAGTTGAACCTGGATTTGTTGGGGAAAACCCAACTAAGGAGAAATCTGTACCCTTTTTGTTTTTATTCCAATTAGCTGGGTGACTGGGTTCAGACCCTGAACTTCAGTTTCATTTTCTGTCTATTGAGGAAATCAGAGTGATAGATAATTAAATGCCCTTACAAAGCTAACATGATAATATTATGTGACTTTTCTTTTTGTTGAAAGAAGATAAGAAAAGCTAATGATGTTATAACGTTTCAGAGTTTGACATGCACTTTTAATTACAATTTGGACTTCTGGAGTCAATGCTTAGTGACTAGAAATTGAGATCTTGATGTGAAAGTCAGTTCCTCTGTCCTTAGGTGAGACAGTTGGTTGGTTTCTTATTTTTGAGATGAGGAGACTCTGAATTGTCTGAGAGACAGTGCTCAGAGCCTCTTCCAGAAGTTCTTGCTGTCTCTCAGGTATGGCGACTACCCAAAGCTCCCTGACCGCTCACAGCACGAGAGGGATCCATGGTATGAATGGGACCACCCAGACCTGAGAATGAACTGGGGTGAACCGGTGAGAGAACCCTATCCCATTTAACCTTTCTTTCTTCTCTCTAATGTATTTCTGGGGATTCTTTCTTTAGCTCAAATAGTATTTCTCTGCCCAAGTAATACTAAGGTTTTCTGCCCAAGGAAGGAAAATCCATTGATCTCAGGCCTGAGGTTCCATGTTTGGCATTTAGAATGGGATTTCTGGGAATTAACAAGCTCTGTATTGTGAAAGTTGAAAACTTCAATGATTGAGCTGTCTCTGGTCAGCAAAACCCAGCCGGGAACTAGCACCTAGTCCTGGGAGCCAGAGTAACTTTGCTCTCAGCATATTGCCTGGGGCTGTAGAATGCTTTTGTCAAGCCTTGTAGCAGTCTCTGATCACTCTGGACTGCCTTTTGCAGGAAGAGCAGTATGTGACAGTTATCTGCCTTTCTGTCTTAGATTCACTGGGACCTAGATATGTATATCAGGAACCGTGTGGACACGTCCCCCACGCCTGTTTCTTGGGATGTCATGTGTAAGCACCTCTTCGGCTTCGTGGCCTTCATGGCGTTCATGTTTTGGGTGGGGGAGATGTATCCCTCCTACCAGCCTGTGGTGAGTATCTGAGAAGTGCTCCCTCCCTTAGGCACATTTACTTGGCGCTGTTTCCTGAGGGAGTAAGGTCACTGGAATAGGGATCCAGCCAATATTAAGCTTGGTTTCCTGGTAAGGCCTATAGAGGGCCTTCACATTGGCGGGCATAAGTACCAGAGCACTGCTCCATGCCTGTCTCTTGGGTCAGTGTGAGTGAGAAAAAGCAGTTAAGGACTCTGAGGAATGAGAACATGGAAGTCATCCAGTCTCTAGAGTTGCCATTTGGGGACTGCACTTACCAATCATTTCACCAAGTGATCTTTGAAGGTAAGAGTTATGGGATCTAGAGTTGAAGCCTTTTCCTTTTGGGAGGTGTGAAGGGCACCTCCTAAGGGGTATTGGAAGGAATTAAAAATTTACTACAAGCATAGACAGTTATAATTTGGAGACTGTAAAAGACAGAAAAAAAATATTGTCTAGCTTTGAGGAAATTGAATAAGGAGAAAATTGAGATAAATGACATCATAAGCAACATCTGAACACAAATATGAATTTGGCATAGTTTTTGTGTAGGTATGTGCTAAGGGGTATGAAGTGCTGTTAAAGAGAATGGTTAAACTAGATGCTAAAAATGACACACTTTAGATGGTGGGGAGAAGTTGGAGAGAACATTTGGGGCAAAAGAAAAACAGAATGAAGGAAAGAAAAGGAGAGTGAGTTAGCTGGAGTGGAATAAGCATATAAAATAATTCCTAGGTAACTATTGGTTACCTGGAGAGCTGCTAAAATTCAGATTCCTGGGCTCCACTTCCTGGAGAACCTAATTCATTAGCTCCAAGTGGGATTCTAGAATCAATACTTAACAACTTCATGGGTAATTCTGATGTCCTGGGAAATTATGTGTGAAAGCTAATGTGTTAAAAATTATTGTGAGGTGAGCTGATCAGTTAGGTTGGACAGCTTTTACTGCATTGCTAAGGGATTTGGCCTTGATGGTATAGTAACTTGTTACCTCAACAAATATTTTTGAAGCCCTGCGGTGTACCAGGTACAGCCTATGGTAGGGGTTGGGGATACAGTGATGACTTGGTCTGCCTCTGGGCAGCCAGGAGCTATTTGGGTTTTTGAACAGGAGAATGACATGGTGAAAGCTAGGTTTTTAGGAAGATTAATCGGGGAGTGATCTACAGGATAGATTGTAAGGAAAGGAACTGAAAGCAGGGAAGCTGCTGTGTTTGCAGTTGGCTGCTCAGTGCTACCTCTGCAGAGGTAATCAATGTCCTGATGGTAGCTGGTATGTCTGTGTGCACTGACACGAGCCTTTCCACCAAGCCTCAGGGGCCCCAGGCTGGAGAGTGCACATAGGGCTGGTGTGAGCACTAACTTCACTTCAGGAGAGCAAGAAACACAGTGTGGCTCTTCCATTTTTCAGTTCTGTAAGCACATCACCCTTTTCTCCTCCCCTTGAGCTGTGTTCTCTGACAGCTGTTTGTTGGTAAAGCCAGCAGCCCCTAAAGCACGTCCCAGCCGTGTCTCCTCTGTGCTTTCCCCCACTGCTGCTCCTGCACGCCTCATTTGCTAGGCCACTTTAGTGGTGGAACCATTAGAGGCTGAGTGACTTAAAGGAGATTGAGTCTGTCTCGACCCCGAGAGAGAGTGGAATGGATGGATGCATCGTCTCATTTAGAAAACTCTCCCTGGTGCTCTTCCTCGTTCTCTCTCTCTCTCTCTCAGCTCTCCATGGCTTGCACGCATGCTCACTCACTGTCTCTCTCTCTCTCTCTCTCTCTCTCTCTCTCTCTCTCTCTCTCACACACACACACACACACACACACACACACACAGGGTAGGCACCACTTCTCTTACAATCTAGGCTTTCTCTCTGCCTTGGGCTGGGCAGGGAAGAGGAGTGTTCTTCTGCCATTCAAGCCCAGCTGGGTCTGACCAGAGGCTACTGCATACCCATCACTGTACGTGACTATTAAACTCAGAGTGGGATGTGGCCAGACATTGGCTGGATGCATGTTGTTCTTGCTGACCTGTGTTTTTTCCTTAGGCACCAAAGCAGTATCCTTATAACAATCTGTACCTGGAACGAGGCGGCGATCCCACCAAAGAGCCTGAGCCGGTGGTTCACTATGAAATCTGAGGAGGCTTCCTGGACTTTGTGCCTCCTGACTGAGCCTCCCTCATTCCTAGAGATTTAACCTTAATGAAATCCCTAATAAAATAGTGCTGTGGTATCTGTGCCTCATTTCCCCAGGAATAGACACTGCCATGCGGAACCTCATCCTTTTCTCTTTTTTTCTGCCTGCTGTCTGCACACCCCTGCCCCCGCCTCCGCCCACAGAGACTGGAAGATTGGGAGAATGGGGGAGCTAAGCACAGAAGATGTTCATTTGTTAACTCCACTGGGAATGTGAAAGTAGCTGAGAGTTCCATTTGTATAGGTGTTATGGGTAGCTCCTTTTCTCATTTACAGAGTTGAGGAAGAAGGAAAATATGTTCCTGACTTTCCAAGTTGGAACAACAATTATTCCCCATAAAAACCTTCTTAATGATAGTAGTTAGCTAACAAAACGTTATACTCTAACATGTTGTAAGTATATTATAGAATAAATAGGTGTTTTTGGACTGGCCTAGGGCTGTGACTGCCTCTAATTTTACTTCTTACTCCAAAGCAACGTCTGAATTCTAGCTTCTTTTAAGCTAACATCACCTATATTTATGAATTAGAGGACAGTTCAGTGAGTTATCACCGACCCTATGGCTTTAAAGATTCATCCATGCTCCCCTGTAGCCTTAGAAAGAGGAATGCCATGTTTCTGAGAGTCTCAGCACATCTGTTTTTAAGTAAACCAACTTAGTTATTTTCTTCCCTTTAGGGACATTTTCTTAAAAATCGATCTTTCCCTTCCCCTCTCTAAAACCTGATCCATAAAAAAGCATTACAATCATACTGCCTGAAAACCTGACCCATAAAAAAAGCGTACATTCAACAGACCTATAGAAGCAAGTTCATTCAAGTTAGATAAGGGGCCCTTTAGCGGTTGTCCAGGCAGTGACCTTTATGAGATCAGGGAGTGGGTACAAAAGTGCCTTTATCTGGAACTCTCCACTGTCTGTGTCTTCATTCTCTGTCCTTTACAGCATTTCGTAATTGCTTAACAGACATCTGTGTGCCTCGTGTATCAGACACTGATCAGCCCTGGGGGTATAAAGTCAAACCAGCCAAAATAATTGCCTTCAAGTAGTTATCTAGAAGAGGAGACTGACAGTTAAAAAACAAGCTGGAAAGAATTTATAAGCGATGTGTGAATTGGGAGAAGAGCACACGTAAGAAAAAAAAATGTCCTGCTTGAAACTGACCTTTCGCCTTTGGTTCAAGTTTCTTTCAAAGCACTTCACCAGTGACACTTCTGCTTCATTCCCTAAATTGAGGTATTGCCTGAGGTTTGGGTATAAACCATGTTTATTTTTCCTCAGATCTCATCCACTGCTGTGGTCCTAAGAAGTTAAAGGAATACTTGAGTACGTAGTACAGGGTGGGCAGGCACAGAAAATTGTCTTCTGTTTTGACTTGGACCATCCACATGAAAGGAAGGCTAGGGTTATGTCACGATGAGTGGTGGAGGCTGTCATAAGGTAATCGGTATGCTCTGCCCCATGAGGCCCCGTTGGTTGGGCGTCACCCCACAAAATGAGAGGTTGACAGTTTGATAACCCATTGGGGCATGTGCCTGGGTTTTCCCATCCCTGTTGGGTTGGGGACACATGGGAGGCAACCAATCGATCTTGCCCTTCCCCTCTGTCTGAAGATATAAAAAACAACAACAAAAAACTACCTCACCATCTTTGGAGGCTATCAGGCAGGAATACGGTAGAATTCATGCATTAAATGGAAGTTTTGAATCAACTTAGATGTAAGATCTTCAGCTGCCTACAGGACGTTTTATTTGGAAATGCCCTCAATCAACATGAGAAATATATGTGACCTTTTCACATCCCCCTCCAACTACTTTATCAGTCACAAAAGGCTGTCCAATTTTCTTTTATAAACATTTCCACTATATTAATCCAGGCTTTCTTCACCTGATACCTGGGCTCCATTAGGCTCCTAATTTGAGTCCTCTGTTCTCTCCCACAGTGGATCTATACTACTAGTCTTAAAATACAATCTATATCTTACTGCATCTGTACCTGTAATTTTCTATAACTCCCAAATATCTGAGTTGAATTGGTATTTCACAATCTGTAACCAGCCCACTCCTCCAACTATAGGTAGCCTCATTCATTCCTGGAATGGGAAATGACGGGGTCGACTATTAGTAAGTTGGGCCCCTTCCTCCCTACTGAGACATCACCTGTTTTGCAGCTCCAAGTTATAACACCTATGTCACGTCCCTGAAACCTTGCAGGAAGCCTCTGGTCTACAGTACCTTGCCCTCCACAGATCTATAGCCCTTAGATCAAACAATAGTTTTGGGCAGCAGTTGCTGGGGCTACAGTGTGTCACAGCTATTTTGGCTTCAATTGCTTTTTTCAATTAGGGTTCTATTGAGAGCTCCTGGAGATAGGGTCGGCTCTTCTCCGCTTCAATAAGTAGATAATGAATTAGTACTTTCCCTTTTCAGAGGCTGGCTCCGGGCCCTAGCTCAAATTGAATAAACCAGAATTTACTGATGGTAGGACTGACCCACAGCGGCAGAAATGAACAATCATAGGACAGGTGAGGGAGGCCTATTAAAAGCTATAGTCCTATTACAACCCTCTCCGTGGGGACTGCCCGGCCCGGCCCGGCCGGCCCGGCCAGGCCAGATTCTCCGCTCCCAGCTTCGCGGCGCGTGTGGGCTGTGTTGCCCTGCGGTGCCCTGCGGGCCAGGAGTAGTTTTGGCCCTCCACAGCCGCCGTCCACAACGCCCAGCAGAGCCCCGAAGCCCTTTGAGAAGACCGGCTCCTGCTCGCCGCGCCTGACCCCTGACCTGAGCTCTCCCGGCAGGTTGGTTTTCCCTAGGGGCCTGGGGGTTCCTGAGAGCAGAGGCCGAGTTCGGAACCCGCAGCGCCCGTCCTCCGCCGGGAGAGCGCTGGGGAAGGGTGCCCTCTGCGGAGACCCCGGGCCGCCCCGGCTCCGGCCGGTGTACCTCTCGCGGCCCCCCGCTGCGCCCTCCCTCACGCGGATCCGGCTCCACCTGCCGCGCCCGGTCCCTGTTTAGCGCCGCCCTCGTGCCTTCCCATCCGCCCAGGGCCCGGCACTGCTCCGAGTCTCTGGATCCTCCGTGGGAGGGAAGGCCGGTTATTATTGATGCCCCTCGCGCCGCGCTTTGGGGAAGGCCGGAGAAAAGCTCTCCTGCCCGCCCCCCCACCCCCATCACTGCAATAGTCCGTTCAGCTCTTGGTTGAAAGGTCATAGCTCTCCCACCTTCAATACCCCGTCTCGCCCTCCTCTGGCCAGTCTGACCCCAGCGGAGGGCTTTTTTTTGTGAGCAAATGTGTCTGGACAGAGTAGATTAAAAGCCCATTTTCTCAATTTTTAGACTGTCAGGATTTAAACACTTTCTGGAGTTTAGTTTAGTTTAGACTGGTACAATGATTAAAAATACTGGGTTCTGGGGGCTCATAACGGTTCACATCTTGACCTACCCAGTTTGTTTGTTTGTTTGTTTGTTTGTTTATTGTAGGATGGAGATAACAACAGTGCTTACCGGATAGAACCATAGTGAGAATTTTATGAGTATTGCATGTCAAGTGCACAGTGCTAAGCAACTGCTACTTTTCTTAAGGGATCTTTTCCCAGAAACGTGAAAATGGTGTTGACCAGCAGGTGGCACTGGTCACTGTATGGTGTGTAGGGAGCGTGTCAGAAGATTCCTGATGTAGCCTCAAGGGCTCAGAGGCGTCCTGGCAATCTTGGCTACATTGTCGATTTTAAACTTTCTTTAAGTGGAAAGAAAGTACATTAGAGATTAAATAAACTATGTACTTCCTGTTTTTGTACATTAAAAGTAATGTGACTGTGGCTTGCTAAAGTAGGTTGCCGTAGGTCCCAAGTTTCTTCCCACAAGTTGTGTTACTTTTTCCCTCCTTTTCTGCTGCTTTATGAGCTTATTGGGATGGTACCTTGAATGTGCATTACAATTGGATTGGAAACCACAGAGTTGAAATGGATGTCTGCGTTCATTCAGCAAATATTATCAAGCACTTACTTTGTGTCAGACTTTGTTCTGGCACTAGTTATAACATGATGAACAAAGCAGACACTGCTAGCTCTCATGGAGTTTACTTAGTGGAGGAGACCGCCTATATAAATGTAAATAGATATATGATTATAAATTGCTAAGAAGAAAAAAATTGAGGCTGTTTTTGATTGGATGGCTCATCCAATCCAAAGGAGATGAGAAGCTGAGCCCAGCTTCTAAGGGGCTGAGAAGCTGAGCCCAGAAAGATGTGATAAGGAGCCAGTCATGCAGACAATGAAAGGAAGAACATTCGAAGTATAAAGAACAATTTGCAAAAGCTCTAAGGTGGGGAAAACCCAGGAAATGCACAAAGGCTAATGCAGTTGGAGCAGAATGAATAAGGGGGAAAGTAGCAAGAGATAAAATGAAGTGGTAGGCTGGAGCCTTTGAGCAGGGTCATAATAAGGAGTTTGAATTTTATTCTGAGTGTGATAGAAACCATTGAAAGCTTTTAAGCATGGAATGCCAAAATCCTGTTTTTGATTTTAAAAGTTCACTCCTGCTGCCATGTAGAGAAGGAAGTGAGTGATGGTACGAGCATCAGGGACATGACCAGTTGGAAGATTATTGACATAATCTGGGTGAGAGATGATGTTATCATCAAATAGAGTGGTGGAGGTGGAGAGGGAGAAAAATAGACAGATTAAGATACATTTTGGAGATAAAATCTGGAAGACTTAATAATGGATTAGAAGGGAATAAGAGAAAAGGAGGGAACCAAGAGTGATTTTTAGGTTTCTGGGTTGAGCAGTTGGGTAGATAGTGGTACCATTTACAAGATGAAGAATACTAGAAAAGAACAGATTTGAGGGGAGATGATGTAGAATAGAGAATTCCATGTTAGACTAACTTTTAGGTATCAGCTATATCCGAGTGGAAATATTGATTAGCAGTTGTATATAAAAACTCGGAGCTCAGAGGAAAGATGTGTATTGGTGATATAAACTTGAGAGTCATCCTCGTATGGATAATATTTGAAGCCAAGGGAATCGATAAGGTCACTGATTATCTGGTTTGATGGTTATCATCACTGTGGGGCCTGTGGCAACCAGTGTAATTGATTATCTTTTTGGATTTAAAGCATTATATTTTAGGAATTGGGTAATTGAACTGGCCTTACAGATATGCAAATGGTCATGTGTTTGTCATCCTGTGTTGCCCTGAGGTGCCCTATCCCATGATGGAGAGAAAGTAACAAGATCTTGAGTCCACAGGTGCTCCCTGGTTCTGGTCCTTAAGCTTGCTGATTTCTATTTTCAGTGAGCTGAGGTCAGTTTTCTGCCACCTACAGGTCAGACCATGAAGCTGAAGGAACTTGAGAGGCCTGCTGTCCAAGTGTGGAGCCCCGCCAGCCAGTACCCTGTATATCTGGCTACAGGTATGGCAATACCGTGGACTAGGAGCCTTGGGGAAACTCAGTATGCAGAATTCCTCATTGTGCATCAGAGGGCTTTAGAGTCGTGGGGCTGGCTCACAGCATGAGCAAGGGGACATTCGGTGTTTTTGGTACCTGGGGGCAGCCTTGGACTGTGGCTCAAGGCTAGGCACCTCATACTTTCTTTACAGTTGCCATTTGAAAAGGGGTCTTTCTTTGCAGTTACCATTTGAAAAAAGGTATACTCAGTCTTTTCCTGGTTCTCCTCCTCTCTACTCCCTACCACTTATACCTCAAATCCATGCATATTTTGTTGCTCATTCGCTGCTTTTTCCTAACTTTTCTTATGCCTAGGAACATCTGCCCAGCAGCTAGATGCCTCCTTTAGCACAAATGGCACATTGGAAATCTTTGAGGTTGATTTCAGGGACTCTTCTTTGGACTTGAAACGCCAGGGAGTCCTTTCTGCCTCAAGCAGGTACAATGTCTCATGGGTATGAAGTGCTCATGGGTGTGCAGGGCAGATCCTGATGGGGAACCCCGGGGATAGTGTGTGCTTCTCAGGGCTCCTGAGGAGACAAGTGAGGGGAGAAGGGCCTTCGCCAAGTTAGAGAGAAGTTAACTCTGGGTTCATCTGGCAAAACAATTTTAAAAACACCTACTCCTTCTGGTCAGCAGCAGCAGTATTAGGCAGAATCATGTGATAGAGATGCCTGCTCCCAAGAGTACCTGATCTCTCTCTGAGCCCAGAGATGTTGATTCCTCTTTCCCTTGGCTCTTGTGAAGATAAAAACCTTACCACAGTATCCCCTTCTTCTGCCAAAGGGAGGAGGACGAATGATCCTCTCCTCACTGCTTTCAGGGACTGATTGGGTACTAGTGGATTTCATGGCTCTGGCAGGCATGGAGGGCTGGCATTCACTTGACTTGCATTTGTTGAGCACATGTATACATGCCAGGCACTATGCTAAGGGCTCTGTGTATCTTATCCATTCCTCAGAATGAGCTTAGACCATAAATAACATTACTCTCATTTCACATAGGAGGGAGCCAAAACTCTGAGAAGCTAGGATTTGAGTCTCCACCTGTCTAACTCCAAAGCCTACCTTCTTTCCATTACTTAGCTGCTCTTTTATAGGTTTTGGAAAGATGAAGCTTACAGTCTAAAGCAATGGACTCCAAATTTGTGTGCCATTGGAAGTATGTGAATATTCACTATACTCAAGTTCTATATTCAATGTCAATAACGTACATTTATTATTGTACTGTTAATAAAGTGTAATTTACATCATTTTTTAAATTAAAAATGTCTTTTTCTTGTAGCCCAGAGAATTATCTTGCCGATCCCAGTTTAGAATGCATGTTCCATTCTCTTAGGAATTTTGGGGTGAATCTGAGCGATTAGTTAAGATTTTTAGAAAGAAGTACCCTCTTCTTTATTTTCAGGGTTTAGTCTAGTAATGAAGGTTAGTTATTGCTCTCTTCTTCTTGAGCCCCTGTGCCACTTGATGACAGAACCTATATTTTGCAGTTTTTTACGTCTCTTTGTATTTCTGGTATCTGTACCTTTTGAAGAGCAGGCACTAGAGGGTTTACCAATGGTAATGAGGTATTCTTAGCCTCTAAGGGGTGAGCTAATTCAATAATGTTTATACTCTTGGAGGCAGGAAAAGGCACAGTGGGCAAGGGGTCTTATTCTTGACCAGCCAAGCAGTTTTAGCACAGTAGTGGCTCCTTAGGCTTAGAGCTCCTTAAAAGGAGGCATATAATTGCTTAAGAAACCTTGAAATTGAATCCTAAGATCCACATGGGCAGAGATTTTTTTGTTTTATTCTCTAGCACCTAGAACAATTCTTGGTATTGGGTGCTTAATAAATATTTGTTGAATAATTGATAAAAGGAACTTCTGGATTGCCAAACTGAGCATTCTGTCCACCACTTCAGTTAGTTATTGTAAGTCTTTAGTTAGTCCAAGAGCTTTTCACAGGTGATGATCTGTTTGCTTTTCAACCATCTGGGTTGAAAGGACCCTTTTTGAAATGTTGGTACTACAGGAGGGAGTCATGAACTTCACCTCATACCCTGCTCCACCCTGAAGGGATTTGTGGGCTGTAACCAAAATAAATAGTATAGTTAATACTATTTATAGTATTTCATCTTTACTTTTTCCCCACCTCTGTGATTGTTTCTAAAGATTGATTCTCATTCCCAAAGACCTAAGGGGTTACCTTTGTACCATCCTGTTGAGTCCTTTTGGAAGAAATCCTCTCGGACACCCTGGGGTCTAAGACACCTGCTTCTTTCTGTTCAACCTATGTTAATTCCCTTCTCCAAAGTCAGTATCACAAGCTACTGACCAGAATGATCAGAGTAGCTGGAGGGCTACACATCCTTTGCTTTATGCTTTCTTCCATTTTTTCTTTTGTGCCATCCTCTGTGAGTTAGGTGGAAGGCAGAGCTGTGCTGGGTTGCAGCCTTGAGGAAGGCTCTGTGACTTGGGAGTGGTCTCAGGTTTCCTCCCTGGTGTATGAAGAAGAGGCTTTACGACATGACTTCTAAGAGCGTGCTGAGCTCGAAATTGAGGTCTTAGTTTCTTTTTCTTTCTTTTTCTAGGTTAGTCTCCTTTCTTTTCCCTTTTATTTATTGTTTTAAAACTGGTCCTGGTGTCTCTTCATTATTAACTAAACATATACTTTTCAAAATATTCCCCTTTCCTTTGCTTGCCTTTTCACCAGACCCACGCCTCAACGACGTTTGAATCCTGGCAATTCCCTTCTCCTCCATCCATGATGCATCAGAGAAACACCCATTTAGAAATACCCAACTGAAAGGAAGTGTTCTGAAATACCTGCGTGGATGTAGATAAGGGACAGCCTCAAGCTGTAAAAAGATGGAAGAGAGTGCATGGATAAATGTTGCTGGATGCAGTCAGAATCAGCATGCATTAGCATGTGCACTGAAGCAAGCGATGTTTGACTTGTTAGATGAATCTCACTCAAGAAGAAAGGGTTCGGGAAGCATAATATGCAGCTACTGTGGCTGAGTGATGTCAGAGGCCTCTGTGTGATCTCCTCTCCCGCTCTGTCTACCCTGAGGTTCTAGATCTCTGAGTGGCCTCTGTGTGACCCATCCTCTAGAGACATGGAGAAAGTAGGTGATCAGTCCCCCAGTACTTTTATCTCAGTTCTGTCTTCTTTGGGAGCACTTTGGCCTGTCTTGGTGCCTGTGTGAGGGACAACACCAAGCAGAAAAAGATCACTTTGTATACTTCCCTTAGTTTTCCTGTTTCTAAGACTTGCCTTCTCTCTAGAAGACACCAAGATCACTGAATAGAGAGAGCACATGCTTTGCTGTTGGACAGACCTGGGTTCAAATCCTAGTTTTTCCATCTACTATCCTCTTAGGCATATTATTTAACTTCTGTGGCCCTGTTTTCTCTGCTGTAAATTCAGGATATACAAAGTGGGGGACCCCCCCATAAAAATTCCAGAATTATCTTCTAGAGGGCAAACTCTTGTAATAGAGACTTTCCCCGCTGGGCGAGTGTTCTAGGAACCCATCTGTATCAGTGTCCCAGCTGGTGGTGTTGTGAGAGGCTACAGTTGGCTTCAGTGAATTTTTTTTAAGACTTTTTCAAAAAAGTTTTGCTCGTTTCATGATGAGTGATTTATGAGCACACTTGCCCGCACCCCACTGAGTGTTGAGCAGTGTTTGACCAAAAATGGCATGACCCTGTGCCACACCTTCCCTGTCCACCCAGTCTCTCCCCAGTGACATTTTTTTGTTGTTTCCATATATGAAAAAATTCCTCAAAGGGAAACGTTTTGCCAATGTGGAAGAGGTGAAACAAAAAATGGCAGAAGCACTGAAAGGCATCAGAATCGAGTTCAAAACTGTTTGAGTGGTGGAAAAAACATCTTGATACGTGTATTGCATCAAGGGGAGAGTACTTGGAAGGTGACTGAAGTTTAAACATGAGAATAAAGACACAATTTTTTATAAATAAATTCCAGGATTTTTTGGATTCCCCTTGTAGAGTAGGCACGTAATAGCCTGGCACATACTATGCATTCAGGAAAGTAGTTCTTCTCTCCGGCAGCCACTGTCCCACTCCAGTGTCTTCATGCTGTAGCTCAGAACACTGCCTTCGCCGCTCCCTGTGACTTTTAAGGAAACTTGGAGTTCCTCAGCTGTTTTGGACTAGATGTGGACAAACTCATTTTCACTGTGGTTCACTAACACACGGCTGGGATTTTTCAAAGCAAGCTTTCTAAGCAAATAGAAGCAAAATCCAAAACAAAGAAGTACATAAAGTATGGAAGTAAGTATTTATACAGTGCATATTCCTAATTATAAGGTAACTATAGCTTGGCCTCAGATGAGCTTAGCTGGTATGAAGTTTTGATCTCACAGGCTTTAGTTTATTCTCTTCAGCCTTGTCTTTTTTTTAATCATTTTTTAATTTTTCAGTTAGAGTTGACATACATTATTTTATGAAGTCTATCCAAAACTATTCCAGCCGTTGTTAATATAACAAAAATGGTTTGCATGACATCTGTGTAACCTGGCAGTCAAGGAGAGTGGACTGGAATGCACGTGCATGAACAACGACAACTTCACTGCACTAGTCAGTGGGGGCGGTAGACACCACTGAGTGAGCATGTGTTCTGTGTAGCCATCACATTCAAAATGACTAAGTGAGTAGAGCAATGAATTTGCATCAAATATTGTGTTAAGCTTGAACATTCCTCTGCAGAAACTATTTGGATGATTCAGAGGCTTTTGGGGATGATGCAATGAGTGCAGTGCAAATAAAAGTGTGGCACAAACCCTTCAAAGATGGTTGAGAATCTGTTGAAAGTGATCCATGTTCTGGAAGGCCTGCAACAAACAGAACACTGAGAATGTTGAATGTGTACGGGCTGAAGTCAACAAAGATCAGCAACTGACAGTGCAAGAACTAGAAGCTGATCTGGGGATTCCAAAAGCCACTGTGTCTGACATTTTGACGTAGGATCTTGGCATGAAACATATAGTGGCAAAATTCTCTACACAACTTGCTACCAGAGCAGAACAAACATGGTGCTGCAGTTGCTAATGACTCGATTGAAACCTCTACCAATGAACCAGATTTCCTCATGAAGGTCATAACCAGAGATGAATCACGAGTCTATGGCTATGCCTGGGAAATAAAGGCCCAGTTGTCCCATGGAAGTTGCCTGATTCTCCAGGCCCGAAGAAGGCACAGCAAAGTTGCAGCAAGATCAAGAGCATGTTAACTGTGTTTTTTGATTGGGAGGGTGTTGTCCATCACAAGTACACCCCTCCAGGCCAAACAATTAATAAGGAGTACTACCTCGATGTTCTCATTGATTAAGAGATGCAATAAGATGAAAATGGCCACAGCTGTGGACAACTGGTGATTGGCAGCTTCATCACAACAATGCACCTGCTCATGCATTGCATCTTGTGCAGTTTTTTTGTGAAACATCAAATTACCCAGGTGACTCAGGCCCCCTACAGCCTAGATTTGGTGCCCTGCAACTCCTGGCTTTTCCCAAAACTAAAATCACCTTTGAAACGGAAGAGCTTTCACACTGTCAGTGAGATCTAGGAAAATATGATGGGGAAGCTGATGGCGATTCCGACAAAAGATTTTTCAGAGTATGTCAAATAGTGGAAGACATGCTGGGAGAACTGTGTGAGGTCCCAAGGTGCCTACTTTGAAGGGGACTGAGGTGTCATTGTCCTATGTACAATGTTTCTTGTATCTCCTTCAGTAAATGTCTCTATTTTTCGTAGTACATGGCTTGAACAGGCCTTGATTAGTTTCTAGCCTTGTCTTTTTCCTTTCACCAGGAGCCATGAGCTGGGGGTGTTAGGGCTGGTTCTATCTTTATGAAGTACAACGTCTTCCCCATTGTTGCAGACCGGTATGCAGCCTGCTATATCCAGTACAGTGGTTTTCAACCCTGGCTGCTTGTTAGAATCACCTGGAGGGTCTTGCTAGAAATTTAGGTTGTGAGCTTCTGTGTCTGGAAATTTGCTTCGCAAGAATCAAAGAACCTGTATTTAGGTGCCACCCCTCCTTCTGTGATGCCCTGTGGTCTCCATTGTTGCCATCATTATCCCGGGAGGCTCTTTAGCAGAGAATTCCACCTGTATTCTTATGTTCTGAAAATTCCCAGCTTCCCACAGAAACTCTTCTTCCTATGCCTTCCTCTTAAATCTCTTAGTTTGTTTTCTCAGGCCAAGGCCATCTTTTTTTTTTTAACTTTTAAAGTGTTCAGACAGACAAGTTGCAGGCTGGTACAATGAACAATCATGTACCTTCCCTTAGATTCATCAGTTGTTAACATTCTGTCACATTTGCTCACGTGCTCTCGCGTGCACTCAGTCTCCACACACGTAGCTATCTCTGGCCTGTCTGTTTGCAGAGCAGACATGATTAGCACACCTCGAGCCCACTGAATAATCAAGTCCCTGTCCTCGCTTGACTCATCCTAGGTCCTCTCACTCTCCCAGGTGTCTTCTGTCACGTCCTGTTCGGGCTCCAGCTTCACCTCCCTCGTGAAGTGGCTGTCCGTGGGACTGCACTGTCTGCATGCTTACAGAAACAAAGTCATTTTGTCACACTCCATGTTCTGCATTCCAGCCACTCTAGAGTGAGTGACTGGGCGCTCTTCTCAAACCCATTGGGTGACTCCCATTCCTTGAGGCCTCAGGTACCTTTGACTCTGGCTTGTATGTTGGGAGATCACTGCACCTCTTCTACCTTTCCCTTGTGGGCTTTCCACTGGCCACACCCCCCTCTGGTTCTTGTGTGACCTATTATGGACTTCTGTAGTTGCTCTGTTCACTTGCCCTCTGCCAGCACCGCCTTCTAGCCCTAGGATGCCCGGGCAGCCTCTTGAGCCAGTGTGGACATTATTCTGCCTGATTAAGATTGGATGACCTTAGAAAACATAGTCTTTCTGACAGTAGCTTTAGTGCCACCATTTGTGTCAGTTCTGCTGCTTTTTGCTTTGTTTTTAAAACGCTATTGAGATGACATTCATTAATAATGTAAAACTTTCAAGTGTAATTATACTGTGTGTTCACCACCCAAAGTCTAGTCTCCTTCCGTCACCATGTATTTGACCCTCTTTCCCCCCTCATCCTCTCCTCACTCTTCGTCCCCTCTGGCAAACACAGTACTGTTATCATAGCTCTGCTGTGTTGTTTCAGACACTAACCTAGTCTGAACTGATGCTCAGCTCTTCACTTCCGGCAGGTAGGCTCTGCTCTTATGACTGGCCAGATTCCTGCCTGGTCACCGCACTCAGTCTTTGTTTTTTTTTTGCTGACTACTCCTAGTGTGTGGGAATTTTTATTTCAACTAGGGACCTTAGGACATCATTTGATGTGAAATCTGACTTCCTTGAAGTACTGTGGAAATAGTCTGGCTAGCAGCTGAGAAATGGAGAACAGATCCCCTCTGGGGCTTTGGGGGTTTCACATGCTTCTTGAGGGTCTTTGCAAAGGAACCGTATTTGTTTGCAGGGGGCCCAGGGTCCATGTTCTTCTTTTGTGTAAGATAACTGGCAGTGTCTTGTTAGAAGCATCCTCAGAAAGCCAGAAAGAGTTTCCCAAGAAGTGTATTCTTCAACCCTTCCTATCTGTAGGGCTGGCCCATTACAGCCACATAACAGCTTCAGTGGCCTAGCCATGTGGGAAAGGCATGGGGTGGGAAGGTCCTTGGGTCTTTTCTCGCTCTCAGTTTGAGAGGGAAGAGGGGACAACAATTCTTGGTCTAGGGAATGTGCTAGTCAGGTACAGAAAAGTTTGGATCTTCCTTTGAACAGAAGACAGTAGGGATCTCAGGCATAAAATAAAGTGGGTCTGACTTTGAGCCTTGATTCTGCCACTTCCTAGCTGTAAAATGGGGATACAGTTACTAGCTGTATATGCAAATTTTTATAACTTCTCTGTCCCTCAGTTTCCGCAGTTGAAAGTGGAATTAGTAATAGCACCTTAAGGGGTTGTTTAATATTAAATTAGTTAATACATGTAAAGCACTTAAGATGGTGCCTGGTACATAGGAAGTATTCAATAAATGTTAGTTGATATGAGTTGTGAGGGTTAGGTGAAGTCATCTGTTCGAAGTGTTTATCATGAAGCCTATATAATATTAACCTTTAAAAAACTCCCCACACAACTCTGAGGCAGTGGCTTCCCAGCTTCTAGTGTACCATAGCAGGAATCTTTTTTCAGAGAAAGGGCAGGACCAGGCAGAGGAGACCTTCATTCCATATCTGGGAAATGAGGAGACAGGCGGCCCCTGCCAGGGGTGGGGGTGCCTGCATACGTACATGCTTACTCATGTGGACCTGAATTGGTGCTGATGCTAGTTCCTCCTCTTTGTAGGTTTCACAAGCTGATCTGGGGGAGCTTTGGCAGTGGGCTTCTGGAAGGCTCCGGGGTTATTGCAGGCGGCGGGGACAATGGCATGCTTACTCTATACAATGTGACCCACATCCTGTCTTCGGGAAAGGAGCCTGTGATTGCCCAGAGACAGAAGCACACAGGGGCTGTCAGAGCCCTTGACTTTAATCCTTTCCAGGTACTGCATTTCATTTGGTCAGGCATGGCCACGCACTGGAGCAAGAGCTCTGAACAGAAGCATTCACTTGTGACCTTCAGTCTCTAAGGCTGAGCCCTTCCCAGGCTGTTACGGGGGAGGCTTTGGAAGCCTCGTTTATGGGTCTCTTGCCCCCTCTCCTGCTCTCATCTCTTCCTGGGATGGTGGTCTCCAAAGGCCTGTTCTTCATACAGGGCAACCTCCTCGCCTCAGGGGCCAATAATTCTGAAATCTTCATTTGGGATTTGAATAACCTGAGTGTGCCAATGACCCCAGGATCCAAGTCACAGGTGAGGAGACTCCCGGGGCTGCTGCTTGAATTCTGGAGGCAGCTAGAGCATAGGGGATGTCAGACTTTACCACTGGAGGGCAACAAAGCTCCACAGACTATGTGCTATCAGCCAGATGATTATAGGACAGTGGAGGGAGGGTGCATGTGAGTGTGTGTGGGAGGGGGGGTGGCTTGTGGTCATTAACTGTCTTCGGAGTTTCTGGGAGGAAAATGAAGGAGAGCAGGAGCAGTACAAAGAATTGAGAGAAGGAAGGAGGGTGCTATTTAATGTTAAGCAGGCTCGGTGCAGAGGGCACCAGCGTAGGACTCCCAGCTATATAGCTTTGCCCTTTCCGTGGGAGGGTCAGCTTTGTCTCTGTGTCTGGCTCTCCCATGCAGTCGGGGGTCTCGTGTGTCTCTGTCTCTGAGTGTACCTGTCAGTCTATAATGGGGCCTCCTTTTGCTTCCTGGCTTGTCTCTGGCTTGTGCTCACAGTATCGTGAGGTAAGTTAAGAATGGATTTGATAGCATCCGTGCCATAAAGGTAGCAATGGCTTTTCTTTCTGCCTCACTCTTTGGGGATTTCTTTTAAGATTTTTTTATTGTCATTCTATAACAGTTGTCCCTTGCTTCCCTCCCTTTCTCACCTTCCTCCTCCTCTCCCTGAGGGCCGTTTTCAAATCTCCACTCGCTCCTCTCAGGGGCACCTGGGGCAGGAGTGAAACCACGTGTGCCTGCCACTGTCTCCGCTTCTATACCAGGACCCTAAAGGGTCCTTTGGGAAACTTGGCTCCCACGGCCCGGAGACTGTCTTGGTTTGGGTGGCCCCATGTCTACTCTTAGGCTTTCTGTGGGTGATTGGGAGTAGTGGAATGCAGCCGTCTTTTGGTCTGGGGGGTGACCGTTGTCCTCCACCCCTACCCCCATCCTGCCTCAGCAGCCCCCAGAAGACATCAAGGCACTCTCTTGGAACCGGCAAGTTCAACATATTTTGTCTTCTGCTCACCCCAGCGGCAAGGCAGTTGTGTGGGATCTCAGGAAGAATGAACCTATCATCAAAGTCAGTGATCACAGCAACAGGGTGAGTCATGGAGCAAAATACAGGCTTGGGCTGTGGCTTCTCTCTCATGCCTAGTCGTTGTAGCTGCCCCTCCCCAGGCCAGGGCTGTTTTCAGCTATTGCACATGTGGATTGAGCCCCTGGCAGATGTCCTATTGAGAGTGAAAGCCTAGGGGCTAACCAGAGTTGAAACTGGGGCTTCTGGTGCTCCTTACTTATCCATGGTCATCACTTATTTTCTGATGGTTGTATTGTCTCCAGTCACCACAAAACCCGCCCTCAGAGTGGGCCCATTCCAACTGGGCAGAAAGGGTTCATAACTAGGAGGAGCAGGGTACATTACCCATGGTGTCTGCTTCGTTCACAGATGCACTGCTCAGGCCTGGCCTGGCACCCAGACATAGCCACTCAGTTGGTGCTATGTTCAGAAGATGACCGCCTCCCAGTGATTCAGCTGTGGGACTTGCGCTTTGCTTCCTCGCCCCTGAAGGTGCTGGAGAGCCATAGCAGGTAGCATCTCAAACTTCACCTACATCCCTGGTGGAGGGCAGGGGCACAATGACCTGGGTAAGGCAGTGAATGCCTCACTTTAGCTACAAAGCACCCTCCCTGTCTTCAGAGCCATCCCAATGAACGCACAGTCACCCAGCCCTAGCTCCAGCCCCAACCAACAGGAGTTCCTTTAGACACGGAAGTCATGGTGAAGAGCCTGAGATTCCATGTAATTTCTAGGGATGGGAGTGGAGATGGGGCCGGGAGAAATACTGGAGCCAGTGTTTAGCCTTGTAGAGAGTCTCTAGGCTCCCACCTGCGGATAATGCTCCTTGGCATAGGTCATGAGGTGGCAACCTCTCCAAGACTTCTCCTTAAAGAAGGAGCCTTGATTCCTGTCTGTCCCACACGCAGGCCTGCACCTGAGCTGAGCTCATGGGCTTGCAGCAGAGAAAGCAGCCCCACGGCTGGTTCTTTCTGATGAAAAGGCCGTGTTGCCTTTATACCTCCTTGGGGCTTTTCACAGTTAGGTCCTCACTTCCCTCCTGAGCTAAAAGCACCCATAGCGATGGGTGCTTCTCTGATCCTTGCTGATTCATAGTCCCTACTCTACAACCAGGGTGAAAAAGCAGGCCAGCCTGCAGTGACCTATGGGAGGCAGAGTGATACGGTACGCAGTGCACAGGCTCTGGGAATGAACTTGGGTTCTGGCTGCTTGACTGCTGAAAGTTTCTTAATTTTTCAAAGCCTCATTTTCCTCATTTGTAAAATGAAATCAGGCTGCTCATTTTGTAGGGATGAGATTTATCAGAGATATGTAAAATACCCTACTCATAGTAGGCATTCAGCAAATGCTAGTTCCCCCTTCCTTTTTAGGGGTATCTTGTCAGTGTCGTGGAGCCAGGCTGATGCTGAGCTGCTGCTCAGTAGTGCCAAGGACAACCAGGTGTTGTGCTGGAACCTGGGGAGCAGCGAGGTAGGCTGGCGCTTGTGTGGGCGTGCTGGATGGGAGACGAGGGGGTGGGGGAAACCCAGTGACGCCTGTGTGTTCCGGGATGGTTCACCTGTGTCAGAGCTTCCCTGATGGTGTGTTCCCCCGCATTAGGTGGTGTACAGGCTGCCGGCACAGAGCAGCTGGTGCTTTGATGTGCAGTGGTGCCCTCGGGACCCCCCAGTGTTCTCTGCTGCCTCCTTTGACGGCTGGATCAGTTTGTACTCTGTCATGGGTAGGAGCTGGGAGGTCCAGCAGATGAGACAGGCTGACAAGGTTTGAAGGGCTTAGTGGAGAATGCTGGAGGGGAGGGGCTCTCTCTGTTTAGGGGTGAGAGCAGGACACCTGGCCTGGGGAGAAGTGGGGACTGTTGAAGAGTGGGAGGGCGGGGCCCTAGGTTGGGGAGGGCGGTACCTTTGCTCCAGTGCCCATCGTCCTGAGAGGTTGTCAGTTCCTGCCACAATGCAAAGGAGACCTTCCCCTCGACTTTTGTTCTCGGATGTTCCCTGTGGCATTTCAGGGACATTGGACCTCCATACTGGGGCCATGATTTTGGAAGTCTGAGCTGTCGTCTTTCCTTCTCTCCTATAGATCCATCTTATGGCACACTCCTCTGTAGACCTTAGAAGCAGTAGGCTTTCCAAAAGCCTACTTCGTGGGAATCCCCCGGTTGCTGTTAGTCCCGTGGAATGTGGGAATCTGGCCTTTGTGGGGCAGATTGGGTGTCTCAAGGATTCCTCCCAAAACGGAGTTTGTAGGTGGAGTTCCTGGCTAGGTCACCACTTCAGGCTAGTGATGCAGGTCTCCTTTTGCCCCCAGATCTCTTCTTCCTTCAGCAGAGGCCAGCCTCTCCCACCATTGCAGGTGCCTGAGCAGGTAGCCCAAGCATCACTGATACCTCCTCTGAAGAAAGCTCCCAAATGGATGAGAAGGCCAGCAGGCGTTTCATTTGCTGTAAGTGTAGTGTGTGTATATGTGTGTGGTTGTGTGTGTGAGTGCTTGTGAAGCCTGCCATGTGCCCAGCATGGAGCTATGTTCTGTGGGAGATATTTTTTCATCTCCCTGTGTCTCAGATCAGATCCCACTTCACTGCTCAAGCAGAGTGTTCACTACTATAGCTTCCCTCTCTCCCCCTTCACCTGCTTGGGGTGCCAATCCCACATCAAAGGAACTGATTGCTTTAGAGCTCCCAGTTGTGCAGAACTGCCTGAGATTCCACCTGATTTTTCTCTAACCTTTACAGGTCTGGACTGGTAGTGAGTCCAGCTATGCAAGGGTTAGAATACAAAGCAGGAAAGATAAAAAAAAAAATGTAGATTTCATCCTGTCACTCCTCTGCTCAAAACCTTTGACCCAAAATGTACACAGAGCCCCATTTATGAGTACCTTTCCATCTTTTATTCCTACCCTATTCTCACGAGTTTTCTAGGATCCAAATAAATATGAATCCCTTCTGTTCCATGAATAACTCCCTAACTCTGCCACCTCCGTCTGGAGCCCACCCTTCAGCTTCGCTCTGAGGCCACCGAATCCTGCTACAGCCTTTCAGGGTGCCTCGTGAGGCCTGTCTTTACCCCTAATCAAACTTACCCTCTCTTCTGTAATCTCACAGATTCACACCGGTAATGATACATCCTAACTGTACTGAAGTTATTTGTATGCGTGTCTCAAGACCCCACTAAGTAATAGATTCCTTGAGGATAGGGACCACATCTTGTTCATTTTTATCTCTAAAGCAGTGCTTCTCAAACCTTAATGTGAATGCAAATCATCTAGGGATCTTACTAAAATTCAAATTCTGGGTCATTTGTTTTGGGATAGGGCTCAAGGTCTGCTTTCCCAACAAGCTCCCCGGTGAAGTCCTTGCTGCTGGTCTGAGGAGTAGCAGGGCGCTAACATATCAACACCTAGCCCAGTGCTTTAAAGTTAGGTTTGAATTAAAAGCTGGTGCATGAAAGAAGAGGCTCTTGTTTTTAAAGCCAATCGTTTTATTGGGGAGGTAAGACCAACACAGTCAGGAGGCAGTGAGGTGAAGGATTCTAAGGTCAAGAGGCTTAAATTCTTAATATTGATCTGTCGCTTATCAGCTGGGAACCTTGGGCAAGTCACTTAACTGAGGCCTTCAGTGTTCTTACCTATCTGTAAAACGGAGTTAGTTATACCTGCCCAGCTTACTGACGTGAATGTTGAATAAGAACATAAGTAAGCACCTTGTCAAACTGTCCAGTACCACACCAACCCAAATTAAGCTGGTTGTGTTTAGCACTACCTGAAGTGTAGACTTGGTGTTGTAGGGGTCCGTAGAAGAGTTCTGCCTGGGGAAGTTCATTAGGGAGGGGCCTTAGGAAGGGACATGGTGAATGGCCGGGGAATACAACGAGAGTTATCAACTTCGGCTGCAACTGGAATAACCTGAAGAATTTTAAAAATACTGATGCCTAGTCCTACCCCCAGAGATTCTGATTTTATTGTTTGGGGTACAGCCTGGCAACTCTGAGCAGCTCCCTAGGTGACTTTAATATGGAGCCAAGGTGGGGAACTGCTGGAGTGAGGGGTCTTTTCTAAGCCCCGTGACTGTGCTGAGTGCTTCATATGAAATACCTAACTTGGAGAGAAGGATGCTCACGTTGAGGCCCTCACATGGAGGTGAGGGCACAGAAGCAGGAATGCAGCAGGCCGTTGGGGGATGCGGACCGATCACATAAATGAGCAGGGAGAGAGGTCCTGCAGAGGGACCTGGTCATGAGTTTGGAGGATTTTGTGCGCAACAGGCGGAGGAGCTCCAGGTCTCTCCCATGGCCTCGCGGAATCATTTCAAACTCCTGAGCAGCAACAAGCACAGGGTGTCGGTCTAATGCTTGGATTGGGGGAGGAAAAAACCTAGAGGCTAGCAACCTATTCCAGCAATCTAGGTGTGCTAGCACAGGGCATGAGACAGAGGGGCCTGCATGAGGGACATTGAACAAGAAGAGGTAAGACTTTGTTGCTGCTTGGCTGTGGTGGGGGTAGAGACTGATGATGCCCAGGCGTTTGGTCCCTGGAGGAAGGACAGGCGAGGAGAAGATGAGTATCATGTGCTAAAATTTTAAGCCAATGGTGCTAAAAATGCAGAGGTGGTTTTGGTATGGGGGCCCATTTGCTACTCATTTCCTGATCTTATCCCACCCTCCAGTAGATCCCTTATTATTGATTTCCTATTCTAGGATTGGCCAGTAGATAGCCTTTCCTGTGACCCTGACTTGCTGTTCATTTTTAACTTGAAGGCATGACCTGTGCCCTTCTTGTTTTTCCTTACCAGTTTGGGGGGAAGCTGGTTACCTTTGGCCTTCCTAGCACCTCTGCCCATCAGGTGCCACAGCCTTGCCTCCACCTCGTCTTCATCAGTCAAGTCACCACAGAATCTGAATTCCTGATGCGGTCAGCTGAGCTGCAGGAGGCCCTGGGATCCGGAAATCTCCTCAATTATTGTCAAAACAAGATCCAGCGAGCGTCACAGCAAAGCGAAAAGATGCTTTGGCAGTTCCTAATGGTAGGAAGCCTGAAGGATGGATGCTCAGAAGTGTTTCCCCAAAGCTGGGTACTCTAGCCTCTGTCAACTCCGGGAGACGCATAACCACACTCTGACCCAGGTTTCAGAGGCCCCAACCCCTGTTAGGTTTTTTCCTACACAACAATCACCCTCTGGGCACAAAATCTTCATCCTTTACCAGAAGCTTAAAGGCTATTTGCGGCTAGGCAAGCTGATGAGTACAAGTGGCATTTGCCCTTTTTGCTACTATTGCTTATGTTCTGGGTACTTTACCAGAGCCAAGGTGAAGGCTTTCACAGGCCATGCCAAAGGGCAGATAAGGTAATGGGAAGGGAGAAGAAGGGAAGGAAAAGGAAAGGAAGGGAAGAAGATTAGCTGAAAGAGTATACTATCGTAAGAAGGCTTTGCATTTGTTTCAAGCAACCCGAAGCCAGTCATTGTGGTGGGACTCGGGGCTCAAGCCTTGCTCTGTTCTGGAGGCATGGCTTCCGTTCTGGTGCTAATTTCAAGTTGCTTACGACACCAGGAGGAGCACTATAGCTGTCAAAGGAAATGAGCAAATGAGAGGAGAGGGATACAGAAGAAAGAGAAATACCTGAGTGGACAGGCAGTGAGAGGGTTATCCAGACCTTTGGGATTGTAGAGAAGAATGCAGAAGGAACAGGGCCTTGTCCTGGGGATCTGAGAAGGACTTGGGGTCTGTGCTTCAGACAGAGTAGAACTTAATGAAGGTAGACACCAGGAATCTGGGAAGGAGAAAAGGATTTGAAAAAGGTCAACTGTAGGGCCGGATTTGGCCTCGGGCCTTGTGTTTGCCACCTGCTTCTAGAGTCTCTGCAAGGGACCGCTCAGTTACAAGAATCCTTGCAATCAGGGAAGCCCAGAGCATGGTGTCCATGCCAATTATTTATAGTTTATGTAGTTCAAGCCCAAATACAATTTACCAGTCACATGCAATGTTGCCTAGAAACATAACTAACATTTTTTTTTAAGATTTTATTTATTTACTTTTAGGGAGGGAAGGGAGGAAGAGAGAGAGAGAGAGAGAGAGAGAGAAACATCAATGTGCGGTTGCTGGGGGTTATGGCCTGCAACCCAGAAATGTACCCTGGCTGGGAATCGAACCTGGGACACTTTGGTTCCCAGCCCACGCTCAATCCACTGAGCTACGCCAGCCAGGGCCATAACTAACATTTTACTCTAATCAGGTTACCAGGGTAATAGATCTAGGAAGTCAACTGAAGGTTCAGTTCTCATGCAGAAGGGAGGAAGGGTTTTGTTAACACTAAGCCCACAGCCCAGCAGAATTCAGATCTGAGGAGAAAAAGGGAGAGATGGCGTTGGCTTAGTAGGCCACTTCTGGCCTCTGGTTCTATAGTTACAAAGAACTATATTTGAGGGTACGCTGGCACAGATGTCCTGTTTTAGCGTGAGAGGCTTAATCACATTCATTTAATGGAGCCTTCTGTGTTCTCTGGTTCCAGGTGACCTTGGAGCAAGACTCCAGAATGAAATTCCTAAAGCTGTTAGGATACAGTAAAGATGAGCTTCAGAAGAAGGTAAGCTGCTTTGACATCAGAATCATGTCCTTAATATGCAGAGAAGAAGAGAATCCTGTCAGTGAAAAATGTCTCAGAATACCCCTTCCTGGGCTTCATTAATGCATATACACACATCGGACCTCCTGGAGTTGGACTCTTTCCCAAGAAAACAGCTCAAGGATCTTGGAGAGTCTAGTTGGTAGGGTTTGGAGGTGGCAAGAAAGCATACTGCTTATTTGTTTGCCCTTGTCCTGGGGAGAGTCGTACTCATAGGTCTCTCCCTGCAGGTGGCCACTTGGTTGAAGAGCAACTCAGGGCTGGGTGAGAGCCCTCAGCCCAAGGGGGACGACCTCAGCAGTCGCAGACAACAGACCTTCCACAGCCAGGTGTGGCAGGGGCCCAGCCAGCCAGACCTACCATAGCTCAGGAGACCTGCTTTGAGGGAATTTTCCCCTTCCTGGCCCCTCGCTTTGCTCTCATGAAGTGCTCTGCTTCCATAGAAGTCTTGAGACTCCTTCTTCTCTTAGAACCACAATGAGACACAGAGTCCATAAGCTTCTGGTCTGGGAGTGGAGCTGTGTTTTAACCATGAACTAGAGCCCTTCCCAAACCTTACCTGTTTATTCTTTTAGCTTCACCCATTAAGGGCCAAATATAGTAGAGCCTCCAGACAGCACTACTAAGGCAGCTCTCTGTCTTCCCAGTTCATTTCCTAAGTAGCCACCTCTGCACTTCCTGTACAGGCCTCCAAACACACCACAGAGGAAGCCTCTGCCTCCTCAACCTTCTTTGATGAGCTGGTCCCTCAGAACATGACTCCCTGGGAGATCTCCATCACAGAAGGTACTGTGACCCTGAGGGAGGGGACCCTCTGCATGGGAGTAGGTGGGCTCTGAGTTCTCAGACTTGAGGACACTTCCGTCTTGTCCCCTGCCTCCTGCCTCCCTCCCGCCATCACAGATGCTGGGTGGTCAGTCACTGGTTGGAGCACTCTCTGACTTTCATGGATATGTCGTTCCTGTGGAAGGCCATCTACCAAGATATTTTTTCATTCCCTTTGTGTTCTTGCTTTAGGGAACTGTGACCCCTTTCTTGCTGAGCAGTCACACATCACACCCGTGATGCTGCCACATGAGTCTCTCCCTCACCTTGGGTTCTCTCCTTAGAGACTTACCATTGGACCTGGGTGCCCCAGGACACCCCACTACATTTGGTTGTTGAGGAATGAAACTTGGGAATTTGTCTGGGGAAAGGGAGGCTGAGTGACACAGATGCAGGTGTGCTGTGGGCTCCGCGGGGGACAGGCAGCATCGGTCGGAGGGCAGGCGGGCTGATGTGGAGGGGACGCCTCTGCCTGCAGATGCGGATGGGCTGCTGAGCCAGGCTCTCCTGCTCGGTGAACTGGGCCCTGCTGTGGAGCTGTGTCTGAAGGAAGAACGCTTTGCTGATGCCATTATCTTGGCCCAGGCTGGGGGTGCAGATCTACTGAAGAAAACACAGGAACGCTACTTGGCCAAGAAGAAAACCAGAATCTCCTTGGTAACTGCCCACCATGCAGGAGGAGAGGAGGGGATTACTTGGACCTTGTCAGGTGGATAAATGCCCACACCTTAGGACTGGGGTACTGAGGATCTGCCAAACTCTTTCTCTTCCCACTTCAACCACCCTGACCTCACCCTGACCCCCAGTCAGTGGTCTAACAGGAAGCCTGCTCATAAGTGGCTTTTCTAGCACATTCCTGTGCATGACTCCTGCTGCCTGTGCTGGGTGGGTGGTTGATGGCCTCCTTTCTTCTCTGCCCATTCCAGCTGCTCGCCTGTGTTATACGGAAGAACTGGAGGGATATGGTGTGCTCCTGTAGCCTGCAGAACTGGAGAGAGGCACTGGCCTTGCTGCTGACATACTCAGGGCCAGAGAAATTTCCTGAGCTCTGTGGTAGGTGGCCCTAGGCTTTAGGATGGAGTGGTGTGACTCCAGGGTGGAGTCAGTAGACGTGCTGATGAAGGAAGCGGAAGAGAAGCCCCCGCTCTGGGAGGCTGGGCTATGTTATCAGAGCCGAGCTCTGGTTCAGCGAGTGGGCAAGGACTTACAGTGCATGCCTCTCCTTTCATTTGTTGCCCTGTTTCACTTTTTCTTGTCATGTCTTGAGGCAAAAGCTTTGTCCTTCACTATAGAGAAGGGTGAGCTTCAGTATTGTCCAAAGCCACTGTGACTACTTGTCCCATAGCTCATAATCCTCTACCCATTTCCAGATAGGAACAGGAGGGAGGAGCAAAGGGAAGCTGTGACATTAAAGAAGTTTCCATCTCTCTGCAGACATGCTGGGTGCTCGCATGGAGCAGGAGGGCAGCAGGGCACTCACCTCCGAAGCCAGACTCTGTTATGTGTGCTCAGGGAATGTGGAGCGGCTGGTGGAGTGCTGGGCAAAATCCCGCCAGGCTTCATCCCCCATGGCTCTACAGGTACCCCTTCTCTGCAGGTCCCCTGTCCCTCGTTCCAGGCCCTTGGGAGAGGCCAGTGGTGGGGATGTGCAGGGACATCAGAGTGAATCTGCTATGTATCCAGGCTGGGGTCAGGGTATTAGGGAAGAGAGATGGGCCCTTAATGTCTGAGACCTTCTCCCAGGAATGAGCTATATCACCTCCTTCCTTCCTTCTCAGTCAGGGAGACTTAGCAGCAGCTACTTAGTTATTAAGTTCATAATGCTTTCCTACTTCAGATTTGGTTATACAGGTTTATTCTATATTTGAGTATTGTGAGCCTGAGCCTTCTATTAACTGCTGTAAAAATTCTATGGATCTAAATTGTACAGACATTGTGCAGGTGACTAGAGAATGTGGGGGTCACGGACTCATGGGGAGACAAGGTCACACATAAAATAATAGTATGACTGGGCCTGAAAGTGCTGATATACTACCAGCAAAAATGGTAAAAAAAAGCAAAAAAAGGAGGTAGAGATGTACGAGAACCTAGACCCCAATGGCCCCACTTGAGCCCAATGCTAACAGCTTGAGAAGTGAGGCCCTTCTTCACCTGTCGTGTCTCCAGTATATCATCTTTCCTGGCTGTGGCCAGGTACCCTCCTACCCACACTGGGAAGTCCCTGGGTGAGCTGCCTGGGCTTGGAGAGCAGGATGTCCTTTGAAGAAGGCTGACCACCCTCATCCCTGTCCCCTTAGGACTTGATGGAGAAGGTGATGGTCCTAAACAAGAGCCTGGAGCTAATGCAGAGTCCTGCTGGCATGAGCCCAGGCCCTGCCACCACCTACCGGGTCACTCAGTATGCCAACCTCCTGGCAGCCCAGGGCAACCTGGCCACTGCCATGAGCTACCTACCCAGTGACTGTGCTCAGGTGAGTGTGGCCATGTGGAAAGAGCAAACTGTTTCATTCAATCATCTAACACTGGCTGAGCACCCCATGGTAAGTGCTGAAGTTCCCGGGATGAATAAGATCTAGTCCCTCAGGAAGCTCACAGTCTCTTGGGGGGAGATCAGATGTTACCAACTCATAGTGCCATAACAGGAGCTTATATTAAGCACACTGGGACTCCAGGGAAGGGGCCTGTTTTGCCCGCAGAAGTCAAGGTAGGTTTCTGAATGATTAAAATTGTTGAAGAGAAGAAGCAGCTTACCAGCAGACGTAGGGTGATCTAGGCAAAGAGAACAGCAAAGGGAGGCTTGGCAGGGGTTAGGGATCTTTGAGTCGTCTCAGGTGGCTAGAGTGTAGAGGGTCCGCTGAAGTTTGAATGCTCTCTGAGGCCAGGCTTGTAAGAGAGGATGTTTGCTTGTTTTAATTTTACTTAACTCAGTTCTTCTTTATTATGACTTTTATAGCCACAAATTCAGCAGCTGAGAGATCGGCTTTTTCATGCCCAGGGTGCTGATGTCGTGGGCCAACAGTCTCCTCCTTTCCCCTTTCCCCAAGTCATTGTGGGACCTACCCCCCACTCTAAAGAGACATCGTCTTGCAAATTGGGATTCCAGCCTTCTCACCAGGTAACACCTTGTTTGTTCATTTATTTGTTCATCCATTAAAAAATAGTCATTAGTATCTACCACGTGTCAGGCATGGTTCTAGGCACTTGGAATAAATTAGTAAACAGAAATGATGGAAACTCCTGACTTCGTAAAGCACAGATGCAGGTGTTTTTCTAATGATTATTTATTGAACAACTGCTAGGCTCTTAGGCACACAAACCATGATCCTTGCCCTTAATTAGCTCAGTCTAGTGGAAGATACATAAAAAATCCAATAAAATTTATAAAGGCTATAATTGCTGTATGGTGAGGTGTCATGGGGTTACTTACACACAAGAAAGCAGTTTTCTCTGGTAGGTGGGAAGTTTGGGGAGTATTTCAGAGTGAGTATGATGTGTGGTCTTAGTCTTGAAGGTTAAAAGTTACTTAGGCAAAGGAAGGGTAGGTGAAAGCTGTTTTGGGCAGAAGGAATAGCATGTGCCAAAGCATTGAACGGACAGTAAGAGAAGCCTGTGTGAGGAGCTACTGACATTTTAATGGGGCTGCAAAACAGGGCCTTGTGGCAGTGGAGCGTGCTTAGATGAAGCTGGCGTAACAGGAGTTAGACCAGGAAGGACCTGGCAGCCTGAGCTAAAGAGCTTAGACTTGACCCTGAAACTGAGAGCAGTCAGGAGCTATTGAGTAGTCGTATGCAGGGGAATGACTAGCTCTGTGTTGAGAAAGGGTAGGGTTGGAGGCAGTTAGGAGGCTATGTAGCAAGACATGGTGAGAATGTGAAATAACCTGAAGCTGGAGAGTGAGGTTGCATTTGAGATACTTAGTAGGGAGAATTGACAGAAATTGGCAATAGTTTAGGGGAGTGTGTGAAGTGGGGGGACTAGTCCCCAGGTTCCTGGCCCCTAGGTCTGTCCAGATGGGTAGTGTGGTGTAAACTTGTGATACTAGGAGCCAACTGGAGAGGCTGGGGAACAAAATCCAATGAGACTGTAAATAGCGGTATCAGGCAGAAGAAGCTCTGATGATCGATTCATCCTGTCCCACCATCAATTCCAAGACCCTTTCTTCCCTCCCCCTTCTTCTTACTTCCTCCTCTCCCTTATTTTCTTCTTTCTCCATCTGTTTTTCTATTTTGAAATAATTATAGAGTCATAGGAAGACACAAACAAATGTACTGGTAAGTCTCATGCATCCCAGCTCCACCCTACCCCACACCACCGTCCCGCAGCAACCACTGTGCAATAACAAAACCAAGAAATTGACATAGTATAACCCATAGATTCACATTTTAGATTCGGATTTCACCAGTTTTACATGTACTTGTGTGTGTGTGTGTGTGTGTGTGTGTGTGTGTGTGTGATTATGTAAGAATTTGTCTTTTCATCTTTTTAACAGGGTCCTTCACAAAGCAAAGATTTTTCATTATATAGGGTCCAATTTATTGTTTTCCTTCTATGGGTCTTGTTATTTGTGTCAAGTCCAAGAACTCTTTGCATAGTCCTAGGTCCCTGAACTTTCTCTTATGTTCTTTTTAGAAGTTTTATAGTTTTACATTTAAGTTCATGTTACTTTGAGTTACTGTCTATGAAAAGAATGAAGTTTAAGTTAAGCTTTATTTTCTTGCCAGTGGGTTTCCATTCATGGAAAAAGTTGTTCCTCCTCCATTGAATTGATTTTGCACCCTTGTAAAAAATGAATTGGGAATATTCATATGGATTTATTCCTCAGTTCTCTGTTCTGTTCCATTGATCTATGGGTTTATCCCTCTGCCAATACCACCCTGTCTGATCACTACCTCTGTATAGTACACCTTGACGTGAGGAAGAGCAATTCCTCCACTTTATTTTTTTTTTCTCAAAATTTCTTTGTGTATTCTAGGACCTTGCCCTTCCCACATATATTGTAGAATAAGCTTGTCTATGCCTACAAAGAAACTTGCTAAAATTTTGACAGGAATTATATCAAAACTGTAAAATAATGTAAGGAAAATTGATGTCTTCACTATGCTGAGTCTTCTCATCCATGAACATGGTATGTCTCTCCAACGCTGTCTCTGTCAGCATTTTATAATTTTCATCTGTTCAAATTAATGAACAGATCCTGACATGTTTTGTTCATTTCAAACCTAAGTACAGCCATACCTCAGTACTCAGAGGCTTCAGACCTCATCAGACCTGGTACATGTCATATTTTGACGAGAAAACAATGTTTCAGCACTCAGTGCCAAGCTAGTTCGGCACTTGCCTGGGGCTCGCTAGAACTTGTATGAGTCACAGTGCGGCCCCACAAGGGGAAATTTCTTATGGGAAAAAATTCGTTTGGTACTCAATCAGTTTCGGCACTCGCTGTGAGTTCTGGAACTAATTAATGATGAGTACTGAGGCACCACTGCCTTTAATTTTTTTCTTGAGCAATTTAAAATCCCATGATACTGCATTTTTAATTTTGGTTTTCACCGTTCATTTTCACTATATACAAATGTAGTTGATGTGTGTGTGTGTGTGTGTGTGTGTGTGTGTGTTCTTCTTGTATCCTGTGACATTTTAGTGTTCACTGATGAGTTTCCTGAATAGTTCTGATGAGTTTCATTTAATAGTTCTAGTTTTTTTGTGGATTCCTTGGGATTTTCTATGTAGACAGTCATGTTGTCTGCAAATAGTTTTCTTTCTTTTTCTATTCTCCCTAACCTGTATGCCTTTAATTTCTTTCTCTTGCCTTATTGTAGTACTAAAATAAGAATGGTAAGAATGAACATTCTTGTCTTGTTTCCAGTTTTAAGAGGAAAATATTCAATCTTCCACCATTAAGCACAATGTTAGCTGTTGTTTTTGAACACATTCTTTTTTTCATCTGTGAGTATGTTTTATTTAACCAAATATATTAAGTTGTTATCTTCTCAACAAGAAGTCAAAAACATATTTGTGAGGTATTTTGCATCTTTTTCTCTGCTAGTCTTCCATGTCAATTGTAATTTTATATGTATGCAGTCTTTATGAGGCTGAGGAGATTCCCGTCTAACCCTGGCATGCTGAGTCATGAGTCAGCATTGAATTTTGTCAGGTTTTTTTTCTGCATCATTTTATGTAATCAAGTGATTTTTTTCTTTAACCTGTTGTTAGGGTGAATTACACTGATTGATTTTTAAATATACTGAACTAGCCTTGCATGACTGGGAATAAATCCCACTTGATTGTGGTATATTATTTTTTAATATACATTGTTGGATTTGATTTGCTTAAATTTTGCTGAGGACTTTTGTGTCTGAGTTTATGAGAAATTTTGGCCTGTAATTGTATTGTATGCTGTCTTGGATGTTGGTATCACAGTAGTACTGACCTCATGAAATGAGTTAGGAAATGTCTCTTATGTTTTCTGAAAGGTATTGTGTAAACTTTGTGTTCATTCTTTGATGGTTGGTAAAACTCTCCAGTGATACCATCTAGGCCTAGGGATTTATTTTTGGGAGATCTTTTTAATTACAAATTTCATTCCTTTAATAGTTGTAGAACTATTTGTTATCTATTTAATTTTGACTGAGTTTTAGTAGTTTGTAGTTCTTAAGGAATTGACCCTTTTTTTCCTAAATTGTCAAATTTATGAATGTAAAGTTATTTTTGTAGTATTCCTTTATTATCCTTTTAATGGCTTCAGGGTCTGTTGTAATATTCCCTGTTTCATCCCTGATCTTTTTTTTTTAAGATTTTATTTATTTATTTTTAGAGAGGGAAGGGAGGGAGAAAGAGAGAGAAACATCAATGTGTGGTTGCTGGGGACCGTGGGCTGCAACCCAGGCATGTGCCCTGACTGGGAATAGAACCTGCTATTTTGGTTCGCAGCCCACACTCAATCCACTGAGCTACGCCAGCCAGGGCTCCCTGATCTTTTAAAAAAAAATTAAGTTTATTGAGGTGACATTGTTTAATAAAATTACATAGGTTTCAAGTGCACATTTTTGTAATATATCATCTGTACATTGCACTGTATTTACCACCCAAAGTCATATCTCTTTTTGTCACTATATCTTTGACCCCTCTGACTTTTTACTACCCCCCTCCCCACACACATTCCATTTTCCCTCTGGTAACCACAATACTATTTTCTGTGTCTATGAGTCTTTGTTTGTCTTTAAAAAAATTTTTACATTGATTTAGGGAGAAATGGGTAGGGGAAGAGAGAGAGCGAGTGCTCAAGACATCATTTTGTTGATCCACTTATTTATATATACATTCATGGGTTGCTTCTTGTATGTGCCCTGACTGGGTATCAGACCTGCAGCCTTGGCATATTGGGGTGATGCTCTAACCAACTGAGCTACACAGCCAGGGTGTTTGTTTGTCTTGTTTGTTTATTTGTTGCTTTTGGTTTTACATCCCACATATGAGTGAAATCATATGGTTCTTGACGTTGTTTCATCTGATTTATTTTGCTAAGCATGGTGTTCTCCATATCCATTTTTGTTTTTGCAAATGGTAGTGTTTCATCTTTTCTTACGGCTCAGTAGTATTCCATTGTGCATATGCACCACATCTTCTCTGTCGGATAATCTGTCCAAGGAGACTTTGGTGGTTTTCATGTCTTGGCCACTGTGAATAATGCTGCAGTGAAAATGCACGCATCTCTACAAATAAATGTTTTTAAATTTTAGGGTGTTGCTGGGTCATGTGGTAACTCTATTCTTAATTTTTTGAGGAACCTCCATATTGTTTTCTGTACTGGCTGCACCCATTTACATCCCCGCCAGCAGTGAGTGAGGGCTCCTTTTGTCCACAGCCTCTCCAGCACTTGCCATTACTGCCTTATTGATAACAGCCACTCTTAACAGGTGTGAGGTGTTATCTCATTGTAGTTTCAATTTGCATTTCCCTAGTAGCTAGTGAAGTTGAACATCCTTGCATGTATCTCTTGGCCATTTGTATGTCTTCTTGGGAAAAGTGTCTGTTCAGGTCCTCTGGTCATTTTTAAATTGGGTTGTTTGGGTTTTTGTTATTGAGTTGTATGAATTCTTTATATATTTTGGATGTTAACCCCTTATCAAAGGTGTCATTAGCAAATATCTTCTTGTGTTCAGTTAGTTGCCTTTTTGTTTGTTGACAGTTTTCTCTTTCCATACAGAAGCTTTTGAGTGTAATATAGTCTCATTCCCCTTATTTTTGCTTTTACTTCCCTTGATTTTGAGGTCAAATTAATAAAATCCTGCCTAAGACCAAGGTCCATAAGGTCTATGTTTTCTTCTATGTAATTTATTGCTTCAGGTCTTATATTTAGGGTTTTCATCCATTGTGTATGGTTACAAACAGCAATCTGGTTTCTTCTTTTGCCTGTGACTTTGCAATTTTCCCTGCACCATTTGTTGGAGAGGCCTTTTTCCCCTTGTATATTTTTTATTTCTTCATCAAAAATTATTTGCCTACATACATGTGGGTTTATTTCTTGGCTCTCAATTCTGTTCCATTGGTCTCTGTGTCATGGACAATACCATTCTGTTTTGATTATTGTTACTTTGTAGTATAATTTGAAGTCTGGGCTCAGAGATGACTGATCTTGGTGACTTGTGTCTTCTCTGTCAGTTTTTATAGAGATTTATCAACTTTGGGTTTTGTTTTTTTTTTTTGAAGAACTAGCTTTTGTTTCATTTTTTTTTCAATACCTTTTCTATTTGTAGTTGCTTACCTTTTTTTCCCCTTTGCAAGTGCTAATCCTTTTTTTCCTTCACAGGTTCCCACTCCATCTACAAGGCCAAGGATTTTCACACCTCAGTCATCACTAGTGATGCCCCTGGCACTGTCCTGTCCTGGCCCTTATCAAGGCTCCAGAATGCAGAATGTACGAGACTACAGGGCACCTGAGCCCCAGGTAGCCCAGCCTTTAACCTTGGGCCCTGGGGTAAGGCCTGGTAAGTGAGTGAGTGATCTGTGTAGGCAGAACAGAGAGGAAGACGATTAGCACGGCCAGCATGGATTTGGGAGGCAGCATACATGTTAGTGGGGGGAGCTTGGGATTTGAAGTCAGAATTCCCAGAACTCTCACTTACTGGCTTTATACCTGTGGGCAATACACTGTTTTAAAAAATAAGAGTAGTTGTTCTGTTGGTTATTTCAACTCCATAGCACTATTTTGAGAGTCAAATAAGGAATACAGTTTAAAGTACTTTGTTTGTGGTAGATCGCCATACACAGGTATTAGTTCATCATTTATTATTGTTATTATGTTTTTACAAATTATTATTGCTACCTATTCCCCCCTCATATGCTTTGAGTCTCTCCCAAATTGAAATTTGGTGACAAATGACTTGTTTTTGTTCTACTTCAGCTTTACCTCAGCCACAGCTGTTAAGAGGGCAGAGGGCACAAGCTTCTAACCCCGTGGGATTCCCTGCAACGTGGCCTCTTCCTGGGCCCCCTCCGCCCACGGCACCCTCTGGAATCATGCAGCCTGGCTCTGTCTGCCTGCCTGAGGCTGCTCGACTGCTCCCTTTCCTTCCTGTGAGACCCCCAGGTCTCGGCCCTGTGAGCTCCCAGGCCCCAGCCCCTCCTGTCAGCTTCCCTGCAGCACACCTTCCGTGGGGACCAGGTGCTCCGTGCTCTAGCACCGTCCAGACCACTGGCATCCTGACCCCTCAGCCAGGTCAGTCTTCTTCCCGTGGCTTTCCTTTTCCTAGTCATTGTCGGCCTCTCCTCCCCACTACCACCTTGGGAGTCTCTTCCTCAAGCCAATGAACTGGGGCCTTTGGGCTGGAGAATGTCAACTGAGAGTGTGGCTGGTCTTCAGAGGGTGGTGTGGTGGCTTCCAGCTAAAATAATTTTGATGGGCTTCAGACTAAGAACTTCCAATGTTCCTGACCATGCCCCTAAATACCTTTATCTTTGTATTATACAGGACCTCAAGATCCCTTGACAAATGCTCCAGCTCCCAGGGCAAGCCTCCAGAGGAGACAAGTCAGTGCAACCTCCTGCCCACCCCTGCACACATTTACCAGCCACCCGCATTCTAGTTCCTAACAGGGTTCAGCCTGTCCTTCCCATTCTCAGGCAGGCATTCTGCCCTCTCTTTTCACACTCACTCATCTCCCCTCGCCCCCCGCCTTTCCTTCTTACCTATACACGGTGGGGCAAAAGTAGGTTTACAGTTGTGAGTATGCAAAACACAATTCTTATATTATTATTTACTAATTATTGTCTTATTTTCCGTATGAACAACTGTAAACCTACTTCTGCCCCTCCCTGTGTACATCAGTCTTCCCATTTCCTGGTTTCCTACTCACTGTTCTGTCCCCTGCTCACTCATAATCCCTGCCACGCTCCCAAACCAGGGCCTGGGGAGTCTCTCAGCTTAGACTCGTGTGCCTCTCTTTTTCTGTCTTTAGGTGCCAGAGACATTTATGTCCCCAGCACCAATTACTGCTCCAGTTATGAGCCTCACTTCGGAGCCAGTAGGGATCCTTTCCTCACAGGCCCCTGTCCCCGGTGCGGGTCATGCTGCCCCTGGAGCACCAGGAGAACTCGGCCTGCAGGTGACAATGTGTTCCCTTCCCCTTGGAGACTTTCCCACCCTCCTTGGGTATAGAAGAGCAGGGGGCTTGGTAGATGGGCCTCATTCCTAAAGGTGGAGTCCGATTATGAGCTGGGGAATAGAGGGGGGGGCAGGCACCAAAAGTCCTTACTGTAGAGGGTGCCCCTCCCCGACTCTGTCATGCTCTGGCAAGAACCGTGTATTGCTGAGTCACTGCGGACCAGTCCTTAGGGGAACTATGAGAAGGACAGCTTGCCTATCCTGTCTCTCCACTCATTCCTCAGCAACAGCCACCAGAGAAGATGGACAGGAAGGACCTGCCCCCAGAACATCAGTGCTTGAAAACCAGCTTCGAGGCACTTCTACAGCGCTGCTTCCAGTCTGCCACTGACTTAGTAAGTCTGGACCTTTGCCGTGGTGCCCTCCTCACACGCTTAGCTGGTTCCAGGACCCCTAGCTCCGGGTCAGCTCTTTATGTGACTGTTTTCTCACTGTCCCTTAACATGTTGTCTGTATCTTATACTTATTTGATGTCCATGCAGGGCGAGGGAGGGGGTGAGCTTGTCTGGTCTGAAGTCCAGCTCCTTGGCAGCAGGACTCAGCAGCATGGAGACTCAGCACTTGGAGAGGCAGCAGGGAATACTGGAAGGAGGGTCAGACCAGGAGTTAGGAAACTTCCTGCTATTCATTCACTGGCTGTGTCAGCTTGAGCAAGTCACTTACCCTCTTCAGGCCTCTAATTCCTCCTCCGAAATGAGAGAAGCAGCCTTAAGCCACTCTAGCTCTAATCTACTGTGATCCTTTATAACCCTGGGTAGTGTGAGGCTTAGGGGCAGAATCAGAATCCATTTTCCTCCCTGCAGAAGACCAGACGGAAGCTGGAGGAGGCTGCCCAACGTCTTGAATGTCTATATGAGAAGCTCTGCAAGGGGACGGTAAGTACACTCAGTGGTGCTCCTCTGTCCCTTGCCCTTCCACCATCACCCACGGCCAAAGGGAGCTTGAGTGTCCCCTCCCCTTGTGTCTCACCAACCTGGGTTTCCCACAGAATACCAATCCACCTTCCCTGGACAGGGCTCCAGACTGAAGTCCTCCTTTATTCTTTCCATGCTGCTAGGGTAGGGGCTGGTTTGGGCTCACTAACCTAAGGGCCAATCCCTCCACAGCTCTCGCCTCATGTCCTGGCTGGGCTCCACGAGGTTGCCCGATGTGTGGATGCAGGAAGCTTTGAGCAGGGCCTTGCAGTGCATGCCCAGGTGGTGGGCTGCAGCCGCTTCAGCGAGGTCTCCAGCTTTATGCCTGTTCTGAAGGCTGTTCTCACCATTGCTCATAAGCTGCACGTCTAAGCCAGGCAGCCTCCGGAACCAGGAGGTCACTTCTATTGTTACTCAACTCTTCTCCCTGCAGAAAAGGGAATTTCGGAACAGATTCTTCATTTTTCCCAGCCCTCTTTCTTGCTGCTGGGTATGTGATGCTGTGGGCTTGGCTCCAAACCTGCAGCGTGCCTGCTTTCTACCCCTGTGTGCCTGGCCCTCTGGGGTCTGCCCAAGGCCTGCTCAGCCTCTGGGGCAGGGCACAGAGCCGCTCTGCACTTCCCCTATGCTGTACTCTGACAAGACCCAGGGCAGGGTATCTTCTCCCTTGGAGAGACTCTGTTTAAGTAGCTTCTGGGAGGGTGAGCAGGAGCCAAGTCTACCTCTGCAATACCCATCTTTTAGGTCTTTTGTTTTTCTCCTTCTGTGGGTTATGAGCCTGACTTTACCTGCTACTTGCCTCTGACTTCGTCTTTCTCTGAGCCCCACAGGCTGGAGTAGAGTTGACTGTTCATCCTTTGAACAAGTCATGAACCCGAGGGAAGGGTGCTGAGCATAACCAAGAGAAGGAACTTTGGCTCTTGTCAGAAGGAAGATCTCATCTGCCAGCATTATTAAGAGTGGGTGAGGTCAGGTGGAAGGTAGAAGGGGTGCACTGCCTTTTGCTGGGAGCTGTCCGAGCCTATGAGATAGGAGCAGAGGGACCACTGCCTATGGGGAATGGCCCCTCACTTGACCCGTCTGAGCCCTGTTCTGAGTCAGGGGTCCAAGGCCCTAGACCGTTGGTTCTGTGAGGGTAAGCCCGGCTCTGGAATAGGTACCACATTAACAAAAGACTCTCTTTTAGCACTGCTCCTCAAGGGTTGGAGGCTCTTGTCCCACTCAGCCCCCACATGTCTCAAGGCTGCCTCCTCTGGCTGCACTTTCAGGGCTGGATGCTGCATTGAAGCACTGATGTACTTAATGTGCAATAAAGCTATTGATTTGGTTTCCTCAGTCATCTCCTGATAATTGTCTCCTGGGTCCTATTTTGCTCTTAACCTCTCTTCCTAATCCTCTTTGTTCTTGTTTCCTGTACCCCAATAAAGCAGGGGAGAGGCTTGGGGACAGATTCGGAGGGAAGGAAGCTGAAGAAAGGAGGGTGTCACTGAAATAGACTCTCCTCCCAGCATTCGCGGCCACTCTGCTGTGTGTGTCTATCCGTGCCTGACAGTCAGCCCCAGGGTTTTCCCCACACCACTTCAGGGCCTCACTCAGCAGCACAAAGGGGCTGGGTGTGAAGCCCGGGGTGCTACCTCTAATCCTGTTGTAGATCCCATCATGTCTGCGGGGCTGGATGTGTGTGTTTGAGAGGAAGGGATTGTTAGGCAGTATTTGTTTGTAAAGCCACTTGCTCTTCAGATAATACTTGCACTAACTTCTATTGATGAAGCAGTGTGAGCCCCAGCAAAGTCCTTTCCCAAAGTGTCTTTGAAGCCAAGAGCCCATTGAAGGGAAGAAAGGCCGGGAGAGGGGATTAGTTTGTTCAGCAGCTGTGAATTTCAGTGGGAGGTTGATGAACTCCGAAGTCTTTGTTTAAGTTAAAGGGGGGGAGAAAAAAGCCACTGTTGGAGCGAGAGCCCCACTTGGGGCCCTGAACTAACACAAGGAGGAGTCTGAGCTGCAGGGAGCTGTGTACTGACTGCGAAGACTTTTCCCAAACACTTTCGGAAAAGGTGTTGTGAGAAGAGAAGGGGGCGGGGAGGGGGATTAGCATGTGAAATGAAGTTTTCATTGACTCCGGTGGGGGTAGAAGGCTATTTTAAAGGCATTTTGTTCTCTTATTTTCTCTTCTTGAGCTCTTTAGAGATATTGTTTTGCTAAGGCAGGCTTTCTTCCCCCTTCTTTCCAGTCTGTGGACTGCCTCTATGGGAGCCAACATAAATATTTCTCCTCCAGGAATGTGGGTTAATTAAAAGGAAATGAATGACTGGAAGCATCCAATCCAGACCCACAATAGGCGAGCGCCCTGCCCTGCCCTCCCCTCCCACCAGCACCAGCACCACCGGCACCGAGCACGACCCTGTCTCAGTCTTCACCCTGACCTGCTGTAGGGCCAGTTGAGGCTGGGATTCTTTTCAAGAAAAGAAAGCCCCGCTTGTATGCAGGCTTACAAGCCAGGGACTGGACGGAGACAGTGTTCTGCACCCCCCCCCCCCGCCCCCAGTGTCCTTGTCACTTCTCAGGACCTCCCTCTGCTTCTGTCCCCCTACAGAGCACACAAGAGGAGGGAGCAGCCTGGGTTTCACTGTGCACCCCCTAGTAACTTACTAGTTGGTGGAATGAGCCAGACATCTTTCTCAGCATCAGTTTATGAAACAAAAGTTTTGAGTAGCTGACCTGGAGGTGTCTTCCCAAGCAGCTGCTCTGGAGTCGTCAGCGTTTGTAAAGGGGAACACCGCCCCAGTGACTGAAGCTGCCAGAGAGCCTAGACTCCGTGGACGCAGGGAGGGCAGTGTGGTGTTCACCACTCCGTGCCCACTCCGTTGTTCGCTGAACTGACAAATGGGGGGGAAGGGCAATACAGTCTAAGGTAGCTTAGTAATGTTTTCTTTATAGAACTCAGATGAATCTGGTATCAACCATATCCATTTGGGAATACAAAACAACCTGTGAGGAACTTTGGCAGTATGACATGTTTTGAGTACTGACCTGGAGTTATCAAATATGAAACACTAAAGTTCTGTGCTGAGAGACACCCCTCCTCCCCCCAGAGAATGCAGCTTTTCTTTACAACATTGTGCTTTTTTCTATTTCTAAATGTCTTGCCAGGTGTTCTTACTGTACACTATCAAATAATTCTGCCAAGTGGGACAGCTGGGTTGGTATCTGCTTGATGAGCGAGGAAGGGCAAGCTGGGAGACTCAAGAGGCCCAGATCAAAGCTGAAGGGAAGAGTGAAGTCCTTTTGCTGACAGAGCTGGAAACAAAGCACTAGGAGACCCTGGAGGGGCAGGGGGTGTCCCCTGGAAGGAAGGAAGGGAAACCTCTCTCCTCAGGAAGTGCTAGCAGGACCAGGCCGCTGTCTCCATGTGGAATACGGGAGCCCTTGTGCTCTCACAGGCTGGGCCCAAGAGCCTCGACCCCTGTTCCTTGGAGCCACACCTCCTCTGTGCTTTCTCCTGCTCTGGGAGAAGCAGGACGAGGTTGTGGAGCATCCGACCAGTTCTGCTCCTGAAGTGCAGGCCCAGGGTGGGCCTAGGGAAAGAGATGGCTGCGAAGCTCTTTGGGCTGCAGAGTGTTTGTCAGGGATTGGCTCTTCCCTTCCCAGAGTCCTCCTTCATGAGCAAGCCCCTGCTGTACTGCTTTCTGGGACGAGAACCAGGAGACTCGGTCACCACAGCAGCAAGCTCTTACGACAGAGTGAACCCATTAGTGGAAGAATTGTGTAGCTGATTTAGTATTCCTTGGCAGATTAGCTTCAGGCCATAATTACTACTTAGGGTCTAAGTCTGAGGCCACCAGGGCAGCGAGACTAGGGAGAGTGGTATTCTGGCAAGGTGGGAGAGACAGGAGGGCCCACGGGTTGTGTTTTCCACCTGCCTTCCCCTACGTTCCCAAGAATAAGTTCAATACCTGAGGGGAAAAAAGGCACATATCACAGTGACTGCAATAAATTAAAAATTGAAGCTACTGAACTTCCTATTAGCAACAGTTTCATTACACGAAGTTTACTTATTGAAGGAAAGCATCCAAGGCCCTGAATTCTGACTGAGAACCAGGTCAGTGAAGAGGAAAGGTCCCAGCTCCTCCTTCCTCATGACCTGCCTTCAGAGGTGCAAGCCAGGGTCCAAATGGGAAACTGGCTTTATTGAGCTGGGTCCTGGCTCCAAGGAGCAAGTAGGGGAGAAGAGGTAAAAATGGTTGCTAGGAGGAAAGAGGTTAGGGGCAGGGTAAGGTTACTTTAATGAGTAGGAAATGACTGGCAGTCTGAGCTTACACAGTCTCTAGACATTGCGGGTATGTGTCTGACCACCTTGGGTGACTGTCTGGAAAGGTGGTTGTCTCACCGGTAAAGTCCGTCAGAGACGGCGTTGAGCCGCAGCGCCCTTGGTTTTCAGCGAGGTAGCGCTCTAGGGTTCCCACCCTCCCCATCGTCAGCCTCCAGGAGCCAGCCCCCAAGGACATGCTTTTCCCTGGGTCAGTTTTCTCAGTTTCTCTTTGGGGAAAAGGGGTAAGGGCGAAGGGGAGAGAAAACATTAGGGGTTCCCGGGGAGTCTTTGCCTAGAGTGGGGAGTCGGAAGCACAGCAGTGGCTCCGCAGAAGGAGGATGCATCCGTGATAGAGACACGGCAGCAGAAAATGAGGGCTGGGGAGGGCAGGGCGGTAAGAAAACAGGCAAAGGAGAAAAGCCATGGCTCTACCCAGGAGGACCCTATATATTTGAGAAGGGGTCTTCCTGTTCCTAAGGCTCCATAGGCTAGGTTCGGCGTAGGGTAACTAGGTAGAGTGGAGGAACGCCTATTCTCATGCTTGTCCAAAGAAGATCGATAGCTCAAAATCTCAGAGAGTTCTCACAGGTTGTGTGCGCTGTGTGATCCAGGAGAGTGCAGCAGAATTGGGGAAACAGGTTGGAAAGTAACAAGCTCGGAAGATTGCATCCTCTCTCTCAGGATCCCTGGGCTTGTAGGTGTGGGATCCGCGTTCCCCAGGTTCCTCTATTACTGGGGTCTCTAAAGGAAGCCAAGGACAAAGGGGAAAGGAGCGGGGAGAGGAGACCCTTAGGGTTTTCTCGAGGATTTGTGCACCGCGCCACCGCGTGGCCGCTCCGCGCGGCTACAGAAGTACTTGGTGACTCGCCGGCGGCACTGCTCGCATCGGACAGCGCAGCACCAGTGGAACTTGCAGTTGCAGCTGGACACCGTCTCCGCGCGGCGCTCCTCCACCGCTAGCCCGCAATCCCCGCAGAGCCGGCGGCAGCTGCGACGCTCCCAGCGGCCCAGGGCCCGCCCGCGCCGTAGGCACTCTCGGCCTTCCGTGCCCAGCAGGCCTAGAGTTTTGTTCTCCAGACAGTAATCTGGGGAGTCCTCCAAATGCACCAGCTCCCTCGTGGAGATGGAGCGAAAGGTGTCAGCGATGGCGCCGCGGCCAGCCGCGCTGTTGCCAGCACCTTGCAGCAGGTCCACCTTGAGAGCTGCGTGGTACTTCTCCTTCAGGTGCGCGCCCACCTCGCGGAACTCAGGCAGCTGCAGCCAGCAAGTCTGCGTGGTGCAGCTGCCAGACACGCCGTGACACTTACAAGTGCGTTTCATGGTGCCCTTCACCGCCTAGGGAGAGAGAAGTGAGCGAACCAGGGGTTGAGCGCGTGGGGAGTCTCCTCTGCCTCTGGAGGGTCGCAAGACGTCTAGCTAGTCTACGTCGGTTTAGTACATCGTCTTTCCAAACTTAAATGAAGAGTTGTCCTCACCTAGGGGTGGTAGTAGATGGAGCGAGCTGCCTGACCCCGAAGGGCTGTAGGACTCACCTTGCGGCCGGCCTCATTATTGTGCAGGTTCATGGCTGCCCGGGCATCCTGTCCCGTCTCCAGGGCATCCACGAACTGTTTCGATATCGCCTCTCCAAAGCCCACGTTGTCACTACAGCCTCCCCACAGCCAGCCTTGACCCCCTGGGAAAGTGCAGGTGAAGGAAAGGTTGTTGAGCAGGCGGCGCAGAACCGCCTAGGCAGCTGTTTCTAATTGGGTTTGGGGGGATCTGAGATGGGGAAAGATTAAGGTTAAGTGAGTGCCCTGTGTCCAATTTAGTTTCAGCCTAGATTTGTTTTTGCCACTTTTACGCGCCCACGTTCAGCCAATCCCTTGCTCGGGCCTTCATGACGTAAGTAGTTGCCGAATGGATTCTTTACAAGGTGCAGGTGCGCCCCTCTCTGCAGGGAGTTTCAGGCCTTTGGGCAGAGTGTGTGCCTGTCCCGCCAGCGACCGACTTCCGGAAGGGACAAAATGACCCGGAAAAAGGTGAGGAAAGCGGGAGCATTGAGGGGGAGAGAGAAGAGCAAATGAAATAATACAGAAAAGCTAAATTGGAAGTTGAGTCGGAGGGCACATAGGATTCGCTGGGACAATGGAGGTGAAGAGTGGAAACGAGACAGAGGCAGGCAAGGTGGAAGGACGTCCCCCCATGTGTTTGGCAGAGCGACTGGATTGAATCCACGGGGGATGTTTTCCTTTAAAGTAAGAAAAACACTCAGTAGGAGAAGGAGGATCCACTCTACATTTAATCTGGTTTCACAAGGTAGGGTTCAGCTGAAAGGGGTTCGCCCTGATTTTCCTCACCTTTAGAAGAATACAGCTCTTCTTCACCCCACCCAGCTGCCCACCAAGCTTTTCATTGTTCAAGTGAACTCCACTGGCCTGCCCCACCCACCGTCGGCATCGCCACCACTCACCCAGCTGCCCGTTGCGGGAGTCGTCACAGCCGCAGTTGTCGAAGTCCCCAAGGCTGCAGTTTCTGGTCAGAGTGTACATGACCCCCGCGGAACTGATGGCGTGCACGAACGCTGTCTCCCGGTTAGCTGGCGGGAACCAAACATTGGGTGAGTTACAAGGAGTTGCGACCCAAAGAAACACCAGTCATGCTGCCTCCCGTTAATATAACCATTATCCTCTCCTTTCCCAGCTCCGTCCTGTATTTCCCCAGCTTCATAATGGACCTTACTCTCTTCCAAGGTCTACTCCAGCCCTGGTCGCAGCCCTTCTTTTCTCCCCTCCCATCTTTTCAGGTCGTACACTTTAATGATTAGGTGATGGACCTGGTCGTAAAGGATTTGGGTGGGAAAGAGCCTGAGGTAGAAATGGGGGAGGAGATGAATCTAAAGGCCAGATTATCAAGAACCCATCCCCTAAGAGGCATGCGCCAACTAGTTCTGAAAAGAACCTCGCACTGCCAGCTCCTTTATTTACTGGTGTGGCCACTCTGTCTTCTCCATGGGAATCTGGTCTCCAAGCCTGTCCCCACTTGCCTCGTACCTCTCTGCTGAGCCTGCTGAAGGAAGGGGCTAAGAGGATCGAGGAATTATGACCCCTACCTACCTCCTGACGTTATTTATATTGTGAGAAAGCCTTTAGCCAGCTGGGAGGCTAAAGATGATATAGGACTGGGGGTGAGGCAGGGTCCATTTGTTGGGCAGTGAGGGTTGGGGGAGAAAGAAAAAAGCTCTCTAGGTAGGAAAGAGGAGCTGGAGATGGAACAGAGAAGATCCCCATGAGGGAGAAGACCTGAGAGTAAAGATCACGTGAGGGAGTCGAGTGCAGAGGAGCAAGGGGCCATCTCTGGAGAGAGGGGCTCTAACCTGTGGCCAGGGGGTCCGGGGGGCTGTGGCTGAGGCTTTCCTTACCACTGCGAAGGCCCCCGTGGCTGGACAGCTGCAGGGCTCGCTCGGGGCAGTTCCAGCGGTCCCAGGCAAACTGGTATTTGCATTCTTCAATACCGCTCTGAGCGCCAGCTGCCACGCTGCTGGAGTAGATCAGGTAAGCCTGCAAGGACCCAGGGGTCAGAACTCAGACTCACGGCATTTGTGCTGGGGAGACATTTGCCCTAAAGTGGCTAAGCCCCTCTCTTCCTGCCTCCACCAAATAATGACAGCATAAACACTTTAAACATGTTGTCTCAGATAACATCACAAACAATCTTGTGGAATAGAAACCATTTTATAGATAAGGAATCTGAGGCTCAGAGAGGTGAAGTAAAGCAATTGGTCCAAGGTCTTCATAGTCAGAGAACAGAAGCAGGCAAGAAGCTCAGTTTTGTCAGACACTAGATCTGACTTCATTCACTCTGCTATTCTGCCTCTCCAAAGTGATCCCAAATTACATCATTCATGAATTTTTCAGATGTTCTCGTCCCATTACAATCTCAGAAAATAACATTTTGGAACCGGAAATGTCCTTGGAGATAATACAGTATAATGCCAGCGTTTCAAAAGTAGGAAGCTGCATCCCGTCACTGCGCTGAGAAGGTTTCGTGACCACAGCCTGACACTGAAAGGCTGTCGGCTTTTCTGGCTCTGGAAATTCTGGCTATGAATTCACAATCAGTACTCCTGAGTTCTTGTCCTGGCTCTGACACTGATTTGCTGTGTGGTTTGGGGTGTGTCACCAACTCCCTCTATGCACAGTTTTTCTGTCTGTAGTAGACATAATAAAATGTTGATATAGTGAAAAGAAATTGGCATGTAATCAAGATGCTAAGATTAGTGAAATCCAAACAAGTCAGAGGAAGTTTTTTCTTACCTTTGGACCAGTCATCAGGAAATTGTTCACTGACCTGGAAGAGAGAAAAACCACAGGGCATAATGGAGATGTACCAACTCATTTTTGCTGCCAAGAATTGTAAGTAAGAGCCCTGGCTGGCGTAGCTCAGTGGATTGAGCTCGGGCTGCGAACCAAAGTGTCGCAGGTTTGATTCCCAGTCAGGGTACATGCCTGGGTTGCAGGCCGTGACCCCCAGCAACCACACATTGATGTTCCTCTCTCTCTCTTTCTCTTTCTCCCTCCCTTCCCTCTCTGAAGATAAATAAATAAAATCTTAAAAAAAATTGTAAGTAAGGATCACTTCGGAAGATAGAATTTATATGAAGAAAGGAAAAAATGTGTTTGCCGAGGAAAAATTATGCAACTTATTTGATGAAAAAAGAATATGTACAAAAGGAATTAGTAGTGCGCTTTCTTTGGATTTTTAAACTTTCAAATACCAAAAATGCTGGGAGTAGAGTTTGGTCATGGTCTCACCATGGTCAGGAAGAGCAGCACTCACTCACTGCTGTGTGCCGGACGCTCTGCTCTCTGCATTTTACATGTTGATCTTGTTCAATCCTTCCTACCAAGGGCATCACCATCCCTATTTTTTGAATAAGGACTCTGAGCCTCCAAAAGTATGTCAGGTCACCCAGTTAATAAGCAATTGAACAGGATTTGAATCCAGGTCTGTCTGACTCCACTGGGCTTTGAGAAGGATAGTTCTCAAATCAGAAAGAGGTCAACAGTAGACTCTCTTTCTAGAGGTTGAGTCATAATTAAATTCCAAAAACAAATAATCTGACTCTGGAAAATAGTTTGGCTGCTCCTTTCAAAACTTAAAATGGACTCGTCCTATGACTTAGCCGTTCCACACTTGGGCAGTTATCCCTGAAAAATAAAGACTTATTTTTCCCCAGGATCTTGTACTTAGATGCTCTTAGCAACTTTAGTCATAATAACACAAAATTTGAAACTGTCTAAATGTCCTTCAAAGTGTGAGTGGTTAAAATAACAGTGGTGCATCCACACCACGGCATACTACTCAGCAATGAAAAGGAAAGGACAACTGATACACACAACAGCTTGAATGAACCTCAAAGAAATTACACTGGGTGGTCAAAGCCAGTCTCAAAAGGATATATACTGCATGATTTCACTTACATAACAACCGTGAAGTACATAATTATGGAGCTGGAGAATAGATTCGTAGTTTCCAGGGGTTAGGCATGAAGGAGGGGCATGGCTATAAAGGATGACAAGGCAGAATCTCGTGATGTTAGAGTTAAGTGTCTTAATTGTGGTGTGGTTACACGAAGCTTTCCACGTGGCAAAACTGCACTGAGCTATACACATACACACAGCTATGAATGTTTGTAAAACTGGTGGTCTGAATAAACTTTATAAATATTACACTATCATTGGTTAACACTGTGGGGAGGCTCCTGGAGGACTTCCCTGCCCATGCCTTTGCAAGCGTCTGCCAGTCTATAGTTATATAAAAATAAAAATTCAATGCATATGTACATAATCTGTAATGCCAGAGATTTGGCAAATGGACTTCAGGATAGGCATTGAATATTAACCCAAATACAAATATGATATATTACCAATTATTATCTTTCTTTTCCCACTGTCATGGAATAAAGTAACATGGGAGTCATTAACCATTGTTCCATGAAAGCTAGCATACCCTGTGATCGTAAAGGCCGGTAAGATGCTGGCGATCATCAGAAAGCGGACTGGAGACTAAAGAGACTGAGGAAGTGCAGTTTCCTGTCAGAGGTGTAAAGAGTTGGCTGACTCTTCATACAAAACACACACAACACCTAAAATGCAGTTGGGTTTTGAAAGATAGTACTATAAACTGGGAGGCTGCCATGTGAGAGAAGATGAAAAAGATTTGGAAGGAAATATGAGTTTTAGAAAATCATAAAAGACTACATAGTCTAGCAAAACTAAAGCCCACTTTTTAAAGCTTGGCAGGGAAAATTAAGTTGACTGACAAGTGCTACTCTCTTGGGGGCAGTAGTACCAGCAAAGAAGAATAATACTTTCAAAACAATTTAAATGCATTCACAATTGCTAAAGCCATTATGGGTTTGCAGATAAATTTCTGATCCTGGAAGACTAGAGTCAGAGGAGTCAGCCAGGCCCTTTGCTTCAGAGAAGGGTGCCTGACTTGCTCTGGCTCAGGAGGGCATTCTTTAAAAAAATAATAATAATAATAAATTAATAAATAAAATAAATATATATATATACACACGTGTGTGTGTGTGTGTGTGTGTGTGTGTGTGTGTGTATGCATTTATTTTTAGAGGGAAAGGAAAGGAGAGAGGGAGAGAAACATCAATGTGTGGTTGCCTTTCACATGCCCCCTAGTAGGGACACAACTTGGCTTGCAACCCAAGCATGTTTCCTGACTGGGAATCAAACTAGAGACCCTTTGGTTTACAGGCTGGTGCTCAATCCACTGAGCCACACCAGACAGCACAGGAGGGCATTCTTTATGTTAGTGATAACTTTCAAAGACCCTTGGATGTGACCAGGCAAGACAGAGGCTAGTTCCCATTCCCCAGGACAGGTGGTATCAGGAAAGAAAGAAAAACAAACAACCAAAAAAAAATCAAGTGGCAAACAAAGGAGAAAACTTTGCCATGAGCCTGGGTGAAGAGACTTCCTGGAGAGGACACTAGGTTGGAATCACAGGGAGTGTTGGGCAGAATGCTAGAGGATTCCTCTTTCCTCAAAGGCCCCACAATATGTAAAGATTTGTATGACATGCTGGTCTAGTTCAATTGATTAACCAGTAGGATTTAATTGAACACCTGCCATAAGATATGGCTGTTAGCCTTATTTGGGCAACATTCTTGCAAATTGACTTGTGTTGGTAACCCCTGAGTTATTTACAGACATATTCGAATCATTGTATAGTCAGTCCGCAGCTAAATCAACCTTCTGAGAGCCTAATGCTGATGTCATCCTCATGAAGAATCTTCATTCTCCAACTCTTGCACTCAAGGCACTCCATAATCTGACCATGCATACCTTTCTAGCCTCATTTCCCATGAAATATCCCTACTTGTCCAATCCTCTAGTCAAAATGGACCAGTTGCTGTTCCCAGGCATCCAGACGTGTATGCCTCTATGCCTTCGATTGTGCTGGCCTCTTATGTATTGCCTACTCTTAGTACTTGGTGCCAGAACAGCTAGATATCCACGTGCAAAAACTGGACCCTTGCCTCACACCATATACAAAAAATGGAGTAGAAAATGGATCGTAGACCTAAATGTAGGAGCTGAAACTATGCAACTCTTGGAAGAAAATACAGGTATTAAGTTTTTATGATCTGGGGTCAGGCAGTGTTTTTTTGTAAATATGATGCCAAAGCCACAAGTGACCAAAGAAAGCAATGATAAACTGGACGTCATCAAATTAAAAACTTTCGTGCTTCCAAAGGCACCAAAAGAGAAAGTAAAAAAGACAACCCACAGAATGGGAGACAATGTTTCAAGGCATGTATCTGGTGAGACACTGACTTTCAGAATATACAAAGAGCACTTACAGCTCAAATAAAAAACAGCCAAAGGATATGAATAGGCATTTCTTCAAAGAAGATAAATAAATGGCTAATAAGCGCATGATATGATGCTAAAATTGATTAGTCATCAGGGAAATCCAACAAGAATTCACACCCACTAAGCTAAAACAAAAAAGACAATGATAGCTGTTGGGGGGAAATCAGAACCTTCCTACATTGCTGGTGGGATTGTGAAATGGTGCAGCTACTTGGAGGAATAGTCAGGCAGTTCCTCAAAAAGTTAAGCATGGAGTTACCAAGTAATACTCAAGAGAATTAAAAACACATGTTCAACAAAAACTTGTACATGAATATTCATAACAACATTCATAATAGCTCCAAATAAAAATGACTAAAGTGCCTATTAACTGATGAAAAGATGAATAAAGTGTATTATATCTATGCAGCAGAATATTATTTGGCCACAAAAAAGAATGAAGTAGGAATACATGCTACAACATAGATGAACCTTGAAAATATCATTCTCTCCCTGGCTGGTGTGGCTCAGTGGACTGAGCGCTGGCCTGTGAACCAAAGAGTTGCCAGTTCAATTCCCAGTCAGGGCACACGCCTGGGTTGCAGCCCAGGTCCCCAGTTGGGGCCGCGCATGAGAGGCAACCACACACTAATGTTTCTCTCCCTCTCTTTCTCCCTCCCTTTTTCTAAAAATAAGTAAAATCTTTTTTAAAAAGAAAATATCATTCTCAATGAAAGAAAACAGACACAAAAAGCCATAAACCGTACGATTCTATTTACTAAAAAAAATGTCCAGAACAGGCAATTCTATACGAACTGGAAGTAGATCAGTGATGCCAGGGACTGAAGGGAGGGGATGAGAAGTGACTCCTAATGAATGTGGGGCTTCTTTTTAGGGGAATGAAAATGGTCTAAAGTTGACAGTGATTAGAGTTGCCCAAGTTTGTGAATATATTAAACCACATTGGTTTGTACACTCTCAAAGGGTGAATTTTATAGTGTGTTAATTATATCTCAATAGAGCTATGTTAAAATCCTACGTATTCTTAAGTAAGTATCTAGCTCAAAAACCAGTCAGCCTTTCTTGAAGCCTCACAGCAACTTTCCCTGCCTCATATTAAGGTTTCCCTTTATCCCCCTATACCTGACTGTGAGTAGGGGCTGCCTTATTTATCTTTGTGCCCCTCCAGCTCCCACTATAGTTCCTGGGCATGGAACTTTCCTGTGCGTTTCTCTGTGACCTTATGCAAATTTATAACTATGTAAAAATTAAAAGTTACATATATTATCCAGAGTGCTGGAGATTTGGCAAATGGACATCAGGATAGGCATTTGAAAATTAATTCAAAAAGATTATTTTATAGAGCGCATGAGAATCCTCTGGGGAGTTTGTTCAACAAGAAGATTCCTAGGCCTCAGCTCCAGAGACCGTTATTGGTGGACAGTCTTTCCTTTCATGCCTGGACC